AACGCATGTTTCACAATTTAACTCAAAAGATTCAACAGAAGCAAACTGGGAAAGCACATGCTTCAAAACAAGAAGAGGTAAATGACCTAGTCTATGATGCCATCGCATTAATAGATCTTTATTGACATTACTGTTGCTAACACTATATTGACTTGCAACATAATAAGAAGTTGGCCTCGCGTTCAGTAAATACAAGCCATTGTCCTCACGTCCACTTCCAGTCGTCCCCCCCGTGTCTAAGTCCTGAAACACACAGTAAGATGGAAAAAAGGGTACACTACAATTCAAGCCTTTTGTAATGTGACTGATAGAAAGGAGGTTATTGGTAAACTTTGGGACATGAAGAATAGAGGATAAGGTAATATTAGGAGAGGTAGAAACAGTGCCCTTCCCTGCAATAGAGGTGAAGGTGCCATTAGCCACGCTAACCTTATCGTTACAAGAACATAAACTGTACGAAGAAAAAACAGATGCCATACCAGTCATGTGAATAGTGGCTCCTGAATCAATGATCCAGAGTGGCCCCCACTACATAATGTGGAAACTTGATGTACTGAATGAGGTGGAAATGGAGGAATGTTGTGCTTATAGATGTCGGAGAGCATCAAGTTCAGTCCCGGAAAAAGAACTCGGGGGCTTTAAGGAGTCATGACGAATAGAAGTAGTCTCACGCTCTGCAATATGTGCCGTAGATAACCCCCTAAATGGACTAGGCCTTGGCCTAGCATTCGCATGAGCAGGCCCTGGAGTAAGGCGACTGTGTAGATTCTAGCATGTTTCCCTAGTGTGGCGTACGCCCACAGTGATCACACCTCAACTTGCTCTTGTCATCCTGTTTCCCTCCTTTTGGAGGATTGGGCTTGTTCCATTGTTATGTGGCATGAGCAGACCTATCAGACAATGGTACTTCTGGCTCAGGCTTAGTGTATACAAGTGCAAATATTACCTTTATTCTACTCTCCTCAGCCTGAATATAAGAAAACACATCTCTAACAGAGTAGGGGCTGAATACCTGCATAACACTTGTACCCTGGCATACTCGTATATTGGATGCAGACTCATAGTTGTCAAAAGTGCCAAAGGCGCGCTCCTGAGGTGCAAGGCGCCTATAGGCGCAAGTCATGTGCCTGTGTAGGCCCTAGGCGGTGGTCTTAGAACAAGCGAGCGCCTTTACGAAAGAGGTGAGAGGCCCTAGGCGTAGAAAAGGCGCGCCTCATTTTATTTGTTACTATTTGCTATTTGTTTATTACTTATGATTTGTTTATTATTACTGTTTTAGCAACTTTACAAAAGGAAAAAGAATAAAATAAAAGCAAAAGCAAAAAGGCAAGTGTAAAAGTGAATCGAAGACTAAATACCTGCCTAACACTTGTACCCTGGCATACTCGTATATTGGATGTAGACTCATAGTTGTCAAAAGCGCCAAAGGCGCGCTCTTGAGGTGCAAGGCACCTACAGGCGCAAGTCATGTGCCTGTGTAGGCCCTAGGCAGTGGTCTTTGAACAGGCGAGCGCCTTTATGAAAGAGGCGAGAGGCCCTAGGTGTAGAAAAGGCGCGCCTCATTTTATTTGTTACTATTTGCTATTTGTTTATTACTTATGATTTGTTTATTATTTATTTGTTGTTTATTATTACTGCTTTAGCAACTTTACAAAAAGAAAAAGAATAAAATAAAAGCAAAAGCAAAAGCAAAAGCAAAAAGGCAAGTGTAAAAGTGAATCGAAGAGGAGGGGGGGCTAGGGCTAAGAAACTTTGAAGCAAAATTTTGCCGACAGAGAAAGCTTGCGATTTTGCCGATAGAGGAAGCTTGCGATTCTAGGTAAGTCCTTCTCGGCTTCTCCTCCTCTCCTTCTTCTCTCTTCTTCTCTTCTTTTCTCTCTCTTTTTTTCTTTTTCTTCTTCTTCTTCTTCTTCTCTCAGCAGAATAATCTTCTTTTCTCTCTTTTTTCAACTTCAACCTTTTCCTCCTTTTCTTTTGCTGTCACGGAGAGACATAAGTTACATAACTTCCCTTATATAACTGCCCTTTCTTTTGCTGTCACGTCTATTTAGAAGCAAAATTCTAGAGACCCTTATATAACTAGCTTCAATGCTTCATCAATTTTGCTTGATTTTCTTATTAAAAACACTATTTTTATGTTAATTAAAAATAACTGGCTTCAATTACTTTTTGTTTTCCAAAATTGTCTTCTCTGAAACTGGTTGTTTAATTATTAATTTATTAGAATCAATCTCATTTTTTATATTGCCTGTCTATGACCTCCAACATGAATGATGCTGTACATAAATCATTGGATGTCCCATAATTGGTTTTTAAAATTTAGTGTGTATTTGAAAGTTTAGGAAGTTTCACAGTAGAGTAGCAGACTACTTAATTTTACTTTGACTCTGTGTATTTGAAAGTTTGAAATGATGTCTATGTTTGTTTTAGTTTTATCTCACAATTCTCCTGAGTTGACTTTTGCATCTTTATATTAATATGTCTAATTATTCACTGTTGAACTCAAGTACTTGATTTAGTTGGCTTTGGCATCTTTATGTTGAATATTGAACTTAAGTAATTGATTTAGTTGACTTTTGCATCTCTATATATACTATTGCATTTTTATTGGGTGGGTTTTTTTTTTTTTTTTTTTTCAACTTGTGCCTTGCTTCAGTCGGGCGAGCGCCTCGCCTTGCACCTTGCGCCTCAGGCTCCAGAAGGCCTTTGCGCTTTTGTGTGCCTTGAGCTAACAACTATGTGCAGACCACCCAAGAACTCATAGATTCGATTCCTTTCTACCATAGCATGAAATGCTTTAACATCAGTTGCACACATAGGTATGTAGTCTTGGTAGTGATCTAACTGTTTCCATTTACCACGTAGAGTGTGGTAATATGTAGCAAGAGTTTGGTTTTCCTGCTTGAATCTTGAAATCTGCTGTTGGAGTTCATACAGTTTTGCCGAGGAATACGTCTCTTCCACAACCGTCCATAGCTCTTTAGTTGTTTTTACAAACAGAAATCGTTGCTCATTTGTGGCTGCATTAACTGCAACATCCACGTCATAACTAGTGATTATTTGCACTCCACTCTTTGAATTCAGGATCGCTTTTGGAGGGATACGTGATAGTCCCTTCGATATAGTCGATCATCCTACGACCAGTGATATGTATACGAGCAAATTGAGTCCACTCCATGTAGTTCATCTCAACCAACCTAACAATCGTAATACAAAGGCCTGGATGGTGATCACTACTACCTCCCAATACTGGAGTAAGACTAGGAGAAGATCCAACTTCTTTTGAAGTTTCTGAGCAAGACATTTTATCAAACAGTTTATGAGTATACAATCCTCAGAAATAAAAACAGCAACAAAATACGTAGAGAACCACCTCTCTAACACACAAACTTCAACTAGAAAGATTACCACACAATCACCACACAAACTCTAGAAAGCAACAAAGTAGACCATACCAGAATCACGAACGACAAATAAAAAGCCGTTCTTGCATAACCCCGCGAACACAAAAAAAACACCAATCGAGACTGCAATAGATAAAAAACAGGTCCAATTTTTTTTTTAAGTAGGGGCGGATCCGCGGTATGTGTGAATGTAATTAACACTACTTACAAACAAATCTCATCTTGGAATCTCTTCAAAACCCTTCACACCCACTAGGGTTTACACAAACTTGCCATAGGGTTTCAACTACACACCTAGAGCTTTACAAACCATGCTCTGATATCATGTTTTGACTTTAAGATATAATCAAATCAAGAATAAGTAATAATAAAGAAGAAAAAGAGAAGAAAGCGGATGAGAGAAAAAAGAGAGGGAGATGGGCCATGCTCTGATATCATGTTTTGACTTTAAGATATAATCAAATCAAGAATAAGTAATAATAAAGAAGAAAAAGAGAAGAAAGCGGATGAGAGAAAAAAGAGAGGGAGATGGGGAAAGAGAGAGAATGAAATAATACTTTCATCCTTCCACCACATTTTATTTATAATAATAACTTTCAGAAATTACACATAAGCCCCAACATTATATAAGTAATAACAAATAATTCCCTGACAACACTTTTTATATGTAGCTATGATCTGTCATTATGTGCAACTATCAAATCTGCTAAGTAACTTGCATAAATTTCTTTAGTCTTCTCTTTTTCAACTTTACCCCAATTTTCTCATTGCATAGTTGTCACTTCTCCACCTAGTGCGAATGTGTCCTATTTAATTAATCCGTTTTTGTTACTTAGATTCTCCTAAATAGCCCTTCGACCCCTTTTCGATATCCCTTTGAACCTGTATAGAGAATATACTCTTCTAGCCTTTTTCTTTGAGGTCCCTATGCATCCTATTCCATAATTAATGTCTCATTTCAATTTTATAAAAGGACCCATATGCACCAGCTTAAATGATGTTTTTAAGTTGCACAAAACGGTTCTGGTTTTTTCAGATTATTACTGGATTTATCTATGTTGGTTGACATTATGAATTCTGTATTTCGAATACATTTTTATAAACAATAAAATATAAGTGAAGAGAGAAATGAAACAAGAACACAAAGATATTACGTGGTTCGGCCACTATGGCCTACATCCACAGCACAAAGAGCCCAAAGGGCTACATCACTTTTATAATATTCTCTTAGTTTTTGCATAGAATGATTCCCTCTATTTAGAGGTAGAATACAAACATGTGATAAATATGATATAGGAAAGATTCCTAAAATCACTCCCAGGAAAAAAAAAAAATCACTCCCTTGATTCACTCATATCTATATTCTGTCAAGCGGTGATTTAAATCACTCCTATAATGATATTCTCCAAACACAGCATCTTCCAACATACATTACTTAACAGACTATTATCAAGGCATAGATATTCTGTAGATACAGACATCCTGATTAGTTGTTGTTTGCCCATTTCATATTGGAATTGTTTTCTTTATGAATTCTTCTTGTTATAATATTAGTTTTTCCCACCAATATTTGCCTGAATGTTTGGTGTGATTCAGTGTTTGATAAAGAAGGACAGAGATGACCAAAATGATCCTACAATTTCTGATTTCCTCGATAAATTAGTTACTGCATATCAAGATCCAGCTCTGATGCCAACCCAACATTCTGGAAGCGGTGATAGGCGCACCTCTCCCCTCCTTCATGCTGCTGAGGATTAAAGTTGGAAGGTATTTTTGTCTCTCTGAGATCTAGGTTTTAGAGAACTAGTACTTTTTGATAATACATTCCTGTAAATGATTTGCAATGGCGAAGACTAGGAGAAAGTTTTTGTACTTATTTTAACATAAAATTTTAGTCTGACAAGTAAATGTTTGAACTGTTTGCTATATTTTTGCCTGTATCATTTCATTGTATAATATCTCGTGTCATTTTATTTTTTATTTTCTCCCTTTTTCCTAATATTGCTTTCTGGTTTTGGGGTTCGGGTTCTGTACTGTTGATATTTAGAAGCATCATTTTGCTGCCTCCTCCTTTCATTGCGATGATGCCTTCTGTTTTCGTTTCAGTAAGTGTCACGATGAGCCTGAAACTAGCTTCTTAAAATAGCTTTAACCATGCGCAATCAGAAAGAAGACGTTTTCATATATTATTTGCTGCTAGTGATGTTTTGTTATCTTCAATGAAAAAGTTTGTTCCTTCAAATGCTAAAAATTCAAGTAGATACAGTATGTGTCTGAAAATCGAAGTCTTAGAAAGGTAAATGTTGGTAAATATGAGGTTGAATGAGCTCCTTAAAACAGTTATATGGTATGTTATCATTGTACTGTTAGTTTTCCGTTCATTGGAATCTACCACTACCTTTTACTCTAGATGATTATAGTTGGCCAAGAGGAACTAAACGATCCATGTGGTAGAAAGTGTGTGTATATATATATCTCGTTTACTTGCCTTCCCCTCTTAACCTCACTATTGTTGGGCCTGGACGAGTCGAATAAATTCATTGGCATGGATGTGTGTGTGTGGGTGTGAGTGGGGGGTTAAAACTGGTTTTGCCTGCATGTGTTGCTGAAGATTTAGGGTAACTGGGAATGCAGACTGTTATCTGACAGCAGATCAGGTTATGGTACAACGTAACCAAATAATCACACCAGAATATTTCTCCGTGGATGGAAGAAATATCAAATATAGATGCTGCAAGAATACATACTACGAAATTGAAATATAAGGGGCTGTGTGCAAGTTTTTTGTATCCTTAACACTTATAAATATCTATGTATATATTTAAGGGGGCTATGTGCAAGTTTTTTGCATCATTAACTCCTACTCATATATATATATATATTATATCTATGTATATATATTGTACGCAATTGTGTACATGTATAAAATACATGTAACTCTGCATTTGTATATTTTGTTAGGTTGTCAGAAACTTGAACCAGTGACTTATTTTCTGATTCTCCCAAAACATGATAGTGCTCCTAAAAACTTACCATGCAGAATTTTTTTTATCTGTACAGAAGTACACAATTATAGATATTTTTCCCTAGAACTGAGCGGATGACGTTTAAGTTGTTTCTCTTTTTTTATTTTTTATTTATTTCCCGTAGAACTGGGCTGATGACAATTCAGCTAGGTTTTACTATTATTCATGCCCTTTTCTTTTGGTACATAAAACTTCGTACACAGACGATAAATAAAATCTGTTATCATTATACATACGTTATTATTTTCTAAAATGGCTGTTTGAGACTCAAATCCACCTCACTTTTGTCAGTTCCAGGTTATTAAAATATAGCATACTGGTGTACTGGATTGCAGATAGAACTAGGAATTGTGTTATGCTCTACTTACCATTATACTTTTGCTACCTGCAGTTCATTTCTGTGTCACTTCAGAAAACAATAATGCTTTTTTATTTATTATTATTACTATAGCCGTTGGTGTTTCATTTTTACCCACGCCTGGGCTCAAACCCCTCCCCTCCTCTTTGAGGGCGGGGAGGGGAGGTTACACCATTGAACTACAAGCCTTTGGTAGAAAACAAAAATGCATTGGATAGGTAAATTAGGGGTTCTTTGGGTGTTGTGAAATAGTTTTTATTTTCTTTTTTTTAGATTAACTAGGGTATTCAAAGTTTTGTCTTGACTAATCCTAGGATAAATGCAGAGTGCCTATCCCACGGCCCCGCATGGACCGGGTAAGATACGGATTTTTACTGCGGAGGCACGGCCCCAAAATATTGTTTGCAATTAAGTGAAGTCGAACCCAAATTAACCAGGACTAAATGACGTTACCACCAGGCATGGGACCTGTGATAGGGTGGTAAGAAATTTTTTCTTTTTACAATTTTATCCACTAATTTTGATTTTTTTAAATTATATACTTAGAAAATTTTGAGCTTGCCCTCAAAACATTTTTTTTTGTTAAAAGCTGCCCCTCACATACTTTTCTAGGTCCGTCCTGCTAATCACTTGAGGTAATCTCTTGCGGTTTGTTGTGAAAAAAAAAAAAAAAAAAAAAAAAAAAAAAAATAACAAGAAGAAGAGAATGGGAAAGTTTGGAAACTAATAATTTTAGGGGGACATAATATACAAATTTATATATATATATATATATATATATATATATATATATATACACACACACACACACGTAATAAAAAATATATATATACTCCTTCTGTCTTAAAATAAGTGTCATATTTTCTTTTTTTACGTGTTTCAAAATAATAGTTCACTTTTCTTTTTTAAACAATATACGGAGTATTTGACATCTTTTCATATATGTCCTTTGAATGTAAAATTTCAAACTTTAATATTCAAAACTTAAAAGGGTAAGTTAGTAATTTTTCAGACAAACAAAGCATGTTTAACATGTCTCCTTAAAAATTACTATTTCTAATAAGTGACACTTAAATTAAAATGAAGGGAGTATATTATAAAAGGCGGGCCATGTCGGGCACACATACTGGCTCTGCTATGGGTGAAATAGTTGAATATTGATGGTGTTCATGTTTTTCAAATATTGGTATAAGATTTGGTACTTTGGTTGATTTGTAATACATTTATTTTTGTATTTTAGCTTGAATAGATAGGCGTAGAGGTAATATTACTCTATTTGTGACCAAGTAATGGGTTTAAATTAATGAAAAAGTCTTTGCCATACAAAGTAAAACTATGTACATTTGACATTAATGTACATTCTTCTTACGCGGCATCAGCGAGACCACTTGATTTGCCCTCCAGCTTGAGATGGGAAAAATATATATGTATATGTATGTGTATATATATATATGTATATGTACTGATACATAAAGTGGAAGACTATTTGACATATTTGTGTTAGTGGTAGTATAGAAAACTATTAGTGTTAGTGTAGGCTGATAGTGAAGTATGATGTTGGTAATTATGCTCCACGTGGCAGAAAATCCTTTTGGCATACAAGTATTGAGAGACGACCTCTGGTTGGTTGATGGAGTTCCACGTGGAGGAATAAGAATAGCCCATTGAAAAAATCAGGTAGTCATTGGTGTTTGATGGTTTCCATTTGCCCAATTAAGCTGAGACACCCAATAAAAAAACTAAACATTATTTTATAGTTTTGTTTGCTTTATTACCAAACAATTGCGTATGATGACGGAAGTTAGTGGTTAAAGACATAAATACCCCTATATATATGTAGATATATATATACACACACATGAAGAGAGAACATGTGTTTGGTTAATTACAAGGGGGAGTAAAATATTAAAAACCAACACAACAAACGGAGAGAATGAAGATATTGTCATCATTGGAACTTTTTTTCGTCTCTTCTTTTGTTATGACTGTAAAATTCTCTACAAAATCTTTAATGTCATTTTCCGAGGCTGCTTTTCTTCACTCTCTTTGGAGAACTCAAAGCCCATTTTATTTACAAGAATTAGTGTGAGTTGGCTCAAATAAATAAATATATTGTCAATAAAGAACACACAAAAATGTGGTTAAAATAGTTTAAAATGATAAGATTAAATAAAATGTAATAGCAAAAATTGGAGACAAGTTATGTGACTCACGATGAGAAGGTTACAAACACTTTACTCAATTTATTTTCGATGAAAGTTGAATTCAAGGTTTTTGTTCATGGTAATGGAGAAACATTATTTTTATAATTTCTTTCTTAAATGGAATTATGAGCATTAAAAAAAGAAGGAAATAACAAGTAAAATCATAAAATTAGGGTGGGCAACATTTTAGTTTTCTTCATGTTTTCCATGATAACCAGATAATAAAAAGCAATTTCTGTCACAATTTTCTTATTTTCATTTTACTAGTTAAACTCACAAATTAAACGAATCTAATCATGGAATGGAATTGCATAAACACTGACAAATTCTTAAAATTCTAAAGATTCGTTATGGTGGTTTTAACTCGTAACAGATTTAACTGTTTGACGTATGATGGGTGATTGATAAGCCCGTCAAAAATAAGTATTTAAATATAATTTACGTTTTTTATTAATATATTTTGTGTTTGAGAGAATTAAAAAAAGGTTCCAATAAAAAATATTATAAATCATATAATTAAATATATCTGTTAGTGTCAGCATTTATGGCTTGGACAGGCTCATTGTCTTGGGGCTTTGTAGAAATCGTTGGTGTTGACTTCCATTAGCCATGACAAAAGCAATTATTTATTCATTTGTTTATTATTATTATTACTACTACTACTATTATTAGGATTGCGTGTGAAAAACTCACACCCTATGTGTATAAGAGTATATATCTCTCGTTCTAAAAAGCCTTTAACATTCATTTTTGGAGCAAATAAGGACTTGAATGCTAAAAGAACTAAAGTGTCCCTCTATAACTGAATAATAAAATAGATTAAAAAATTAATTAAATATAAAATAACTAAACTATCCTTCTTTTTATATGTATAATATAGGGTTGCGAGCAAAAAATACCATGGTGATATGCATATAGAGTATATAACCCCCTATACATTCTAACTCTTCTTAATATTCAATTTTGGTGCAAAAAAATATTTGAATGTTGAAAAGACTAAAGTATCCCTCTACAACTGAATAAAAAATAGATAAAAAAACTTATTAAATGTGACAAGTGTGTGTGTGTGTGTGTGTAGACAAGGATATTATCGGAAGAGACAATTGTGTGTATTTTTAATTTTATATCTTAAAAATATCATGTGCAATGCACATGAAAAAATTTATGATGAAACAATAATATGAAGCTCTTCTTTGCCACATTTTTTCAAATTGAACGGACTTTTATACTCAAAATAAAGGATAGGGGTGTTATTTGTCCAAAATGTAAATATTAAAGGTGTTTTTCTCACTTTGCCCTTAAAAGGGCATTATATGAAGATATAAAGGTGTTTTAGAAATTTTATATTTTAATAGGGTTATGATCATATAGTCGAATTCATCTCGATTAAAATGTAAAAAGGAATCATATGGTCGAATTTGAATATTTAGGGTTATGACATAAAATAATGTAAAATGAAAAATAAGATTTATATAGCGCAATTTAAACTGTTAAATACAAATTTTGTTGAGTTGGGTATATACAGATATATCTTATTTTTTCTCTTTGTTCGATAGAGAGTAAGGGTCAAGATCACATGTAATGTTCAAAACATAGTTGGGTCAATCTATATTGTAAAACCATATGTAATGTTGAAAAGATGTTCGTACAGTTGTTCAATTCTTATCCCTTTTTTCTTGTTATTATTTATCTTTCGAAATTGCACCTTGTTATTGTCACTCATTTATAAATATAAGATGGATCTCTGGTTTTTCTCCGACAAATATAAGTGCGTGTGAGTGTGTGTGTTGGAGTAGGATTTGGTGTTAGATGGCATTGGACATTGATATTGTTTCTATAGTTATAATGTCCTGTTACACCCCACTTCAAGTTGAGAGGCAAATGGTAAAATCTCATTTTTAATCGGAGCATCAATACATTTTAAGGGGTAAAAGAAGAAAAAATAAAATAAAATAAAAGATAAAAATTTGAGATCCAAGACCTGCATGTGAAATGACTATTATGCCCCTATGTTATGGTAATTGTTTTTGGCATCTTGGAGTCTTTCTAGTGCAGTTCTTGTAGGGTATCTTTTTTGTTGGTTCAATAATCTCAATTACCTTTCTACGCCAAATGTTGGTACAAAGAAAAGTGTACAATTAGTCCCTTTCACGACCGTGAGAACTTCAATGTTTGTTCCCTTCTGAAAGATTAATTGATAATATAATAATATATTGATTATTAAACACAAATAAATTATTACCCAAAACATTAAATAAGAAATCAACAAAAAGTTAATGACCAACTCAGGCTTGCAATACCATATTAAAAAATTGTTTAAAGTCTTAAAATAATTTACAAAAACAAGGCTTAGGTCACAAATTTGGAACTTCCGTGCAACCTTAGACATGTTCAAGCCTTGATTGTGGGGCATGACATTAGGCTTGCATTTTCATATTAATAATATTAAGTGGAGTCTTGGAATAGTGGCATAGAAGAGAAGGCAAGGCATTGCACTTTGGCTAGGTCAAAGCATCTCTCTAAGTTGCAAAAAATAAATCAAATTTGAATATTTTACCCCTCTCCCCATAACACAAAATTGACTATTTTACCCCTCTCTCTGTGACACACACACACACAAACACACATCAAAGAGGAACTTCCATATGGTTTGATATAAAGCCAAAAATAGAAAAATAACAAAACAAATAGGTGTGAACAAGCAGTAAGGACCTTTTCATCTCTACATTTTCATTTGACAGGATCTTCTCTCCGGTTAATATATATATATATATAGGATTGGGATCATATCAACTCAAAAGAAGCAAAGCAAATAAAACTCCTCTCCAAAGTCACCCACTAGCATACCAAAACAAAAACATACCAAAACATTAGAACAAAATGGCCAGGAAGAGAAAGGCAGGTCAAGGTGTGGATGAGAAGAACAGTGATGAAGGAAATATGGCTTGGGATGAGATGGTAAAGGAAGCAGCCACTGCTGCAGCACTGGGAGGAGCGCGTAGAGCCCGGAAGAGATTCGTGGGGGTTCGACAAAGGCCATCAGGGAGATGGGTGGCTGAGATAAAGGACACCATACAGAAGATAAGGGTGTGGTTAGGCACCTTTGACACAGCTGAAGAAGCAGCCAGGGCCTATGATGAGGCTGCTTGCTTGCTCCGTGGTGCCAATACTCGAACAAACTTCTGGCCTTGTTCTCCATCATCTTCTTCCACTCCAGCCCTCCCCTCTAAGATCACTAACCTTCTCCTCCATAGGCTCAAAGCAAGAAACAGCTCTTTAGCTTCTTCATCTATCTCTTCTGTCCCCATTAACCAACAGTTTAATCAACAAGAAGAGTATAAAGACGAAGAAGCTGAGTTTACAGACTCCCAATTCACTGATTTCCTTAATGACCCTGAAGATTACAACACCATAGAAAACAATATGAGCACTAATGCTAGTGCAAGCACTAGTGATCACTACATGAACACGACTTTCGAATCATGTTTAACTGAGAAGGAAAATTCCGGGGCTAGTGAATTGGACTTGGACAACAATTGGGTTGATGTAGGTCAGAGTTGTAGTACTGGTGATGCTAATTTTGGCGGAGAGGTTGAAGAAGATGGTGAAGAAGAAGAGGGCACTGAAATTGGGGTTGTGGATTTCCAATTTGTCGATGAAGTTGACTCGTGCTATTGTTCTCCTTTTGAGATTGCTGAGGAAATAGCAGAGCCTATGGAGCAGGAGGTGTATGGAGACGAGCCATCTATGCTCAGAGAGGCCATGAAGAGGATGAAGTATGAGAGGAAGTTTTCGGCTTCTCTCTATGCCTTCAATGGGATACCTGAGTGCTTGAAGTTGAAGCTTGGATCTGCTAATGGCAAGCCGAGAGGACACTCACACTCTGATCAGTTGAGCAACCTCAGGAGTGCATGTAGCAAGAATCAAGAGCAGGAGGAGAAGGAAGTGGAAGAAGAAAGTGCGGATTTGATGAGGAACGAAAAGGAGGGAAGCCCAGAAAATTCAATAGATATGCAGTCACCTCCCGCGAATAATGATGGTGAATTGTCACTTTGGAGCTCCCTTGATCTCCCACCCATCTGCTTTGTCAATTAACTGGTAAAAAAAAACAACAACAGTTTTCATTGTTTCAACAGGAAATGTAATGTCTTTTTTCTGTTCTGAATTGCTCTGTAACTTTGTTTCCTATGTAACTTTGTTTCCTCTGTCCATGAGGATTGAATAATTTAGGATAACTGAGGGATGTTGAATATGAAATGATCATCTGATGTAATATCACTGAGAAATTATAGATTTCTGCAGGGCTTTTTGACTATCAAATATGAATACTTTTTACAAGTTAAATTTATATCACTTGCTCTTTCTGTTGCTGATTTACTTCTAATACTTCCAACATTATTAATGATTATAGAAGATTTTGATTGATTCTACTAGTCCTGAATGCACATAAAAGGTCCATTTGGTTAGATAGAAATATACGATAGAAAGTGGAAGTGAAAGTGAAAGAAAGTAAAGTGAAAAAGTATGTGTTCGGTTAGCATGAAACTTTTTCAAGAAAGTTTTGGGAAAATATATTTTGTTAGTTTGGATAAGAAATGAAAAAGGAAATGTTCTACTTACCAAAACAGCACTTACGATTTCAAATACTAAAAAAAATTAAATGAATTTGTGTTAGACGAAACCTTTTTATATTCGATTATTTATATTTAAAATGACAATAGTTTTCAGTGTTTTTCACCTTGTGCTGATCTTTTTCTTTCAACAGCAAAAAGAAATGTAATGTCTTTTTTTCTGTTCTGAATTGCTCTGTAACTTTGTTTCCTCTGTTCATGAGGATTGAATAACTTGGGATAACTGAGGGATGTTGAATATGGAATGGTCATCTGATGTATATCAGTGAGAAGTGTAATGAGAATTTATAGATTTATGCAGAGCTTTTTGACTATCAAATATAAATACTTTTTACAAGTTGAAGTTGGATCACTTGCCCTTTCTGTTGCTGATTTACATCTAATACTTCCAGTATTATTAATGATCATTAGAAGATTTTGAATGATTCTGCTAGTCCTGAATGCACATAAAGAGAATCTGAAAATGGAAAAAAGTAATTTACCAGGATTGTTTGTGAGAGTTTGCTTTTGTGGTTAAGGTTACAATTTTGTTTGTGGAAAAGATACTTTATATGGTAGTACTTTTAAGAATTTGATAAGACTAAAGCCTGAACAGAGAAGCCAAAGAGATATATCACAATTAATCTCTAGCGGACCTCTCAATAGGCTTCGAACCAGATAAAGTTCTGACCATCTGTCAGAGGAAAAAGAACAAATGGATCTTGTAAGATTCCTAAGAAATTCTTCGATGTCTTCTTCTGCTTCTCATGTTTGGTGAATGGCCGCTTCTCATGTTCCGTGTATAGCCGGGACATTGAGGAATATCCAGAAAACATTTTGAAATTTGTCTAATTCTATCTATATTCGTTTCATTTGAAGAAAGGGAGGATCCCAAGGAACGTTGGGAAGTGTTTGAGGGAATTGGAAGATGGGCACGGATCCATTGAAGTCACTTTGCTTTGTTGTCCCTTGTGGTACACATTACTTGGCCTATATTTAGCCACGTCCTTATTTGTTTAAGTGCCATTGAGACCGCATTTGGATAAAAACAGTCATAACTTCTTCTTCTTTTCCATGTATACAGGGCTTGGTCGACGTAAAGTGGCTACACGTCGATTAGTTGGGGGCTTTCAGTCGACGTCTGGTCCTTATCTCCAATTTTTTGGACTAAATTTATGTGTGAAATTAAATATTCAGCATTATGTGAATATCTTCTTTTGATGGTAAAAGTGGTGAGTGGTGGTTTTTTTTTTTTTTTTTTTTTTTTTTTTTTTTTTTTTTTTTCTTCTTCATGTAAATAGGACTCAGTCGACATGAAGTAGATACACGTCGATCGGTTAGGGGCTTTCGGTCGATGTCTGATCCTTAGGCGTCAACCGGTATCTCTAATTTTTTGGACTAAATTTATGTGTGATATTAGTAATTAAGTACTACGTGAATACCTTCTTTTGATGGTGAAGGTGGTGAGTGTGGCAATTAATATTAAACTTTACCAAGTTTTTTTTCTTCATAAATATCAAATAATAACATGTGAATACATTTATGTATAATTGCCGTATATATTTAATATCAAATCATAACATACATAATATGTTGAATTGAATTATATTTATGTGTGACATTATTTAGCCGACACTATATGAATACCTTATTTTGAGAGTGAAGATAATGGTAAGGAAATAAGTTACTTTGTGTAATTACCGCATCCAAACACGGTCTCAATGACACTTGAACAAATAAGGACATGGCCAAATATAAGCCAAGTAATGTGCACCGGCAAAGTAACTTCAGAGGATTGCTCCAATTGGAAGATGGGGAAGTGGAACACATTTGAGAATGCAATACAAGCAAAGACATTATATGTTTGGATACATTGACATACAGGCTCTGTCAAAAGGATGAGCAATCAAGAAACATGCACGCTGATGGCGTATTTGAGGTGATATTTATTATCAGGAGTTTGGAGAAATTAGTGCAGAGAGAAGAAAGTATTTAAATACAAACTTGATGCAATACTTGAAGGTGACATGATTTGGTATTCTTCAGGAAAATTAACGCGATGGGGTGGAGAAATTAAATAGGGACGAAGGAATATGTCTCTAGTTCAAAAAACCCATTTAAAATTTTTATTTATTTCAGTTAGCTGTTAATATCATGTTTCCGAACACCATCAAATGCAAGATCAAACGATATTCAACAGCATATATATATATATATATATATGAGAGAGAGAGAACAGTCTTTAGGATCATCATCATCATAATAACAATAAGACACCTAATAGATTTCATTTTGTTTATGCTCTCACATGCCCTAATGCTGCTACAGAAGATGAAAAATTGTTTGCCTTGGGCCCATACTCTTCTTGTGTTTCAATCTGAAATAAGAAGCTCTTAACCTGCAAGTAAGTTGGGAATACAAGCTAGTATAGAAGAGGCCAATGCAAGCATAATTGAAGGTTAGAAATTATTACTACTGAAATTTCCATCTTCAACAATAGTGTACCACTACTGAAATTTCCATCTTCAACAATAGTGTACCAAAACTAAGCTATCCTGGACATTCTCAATGATGGATAGCCTTAGGCTCCTTTCTGCTGACCCATAAAAATGAATCCCACATCCATCAGATTTTGCCGGGATCACCTTGCTTTGTACTTGAAGTAGTACAAGATCACAATACTCGGACCTTTTTCTACATAAAATAGATAAACAAGTAAACTCGATACGGCAATACATGATCATCATTCCATTTTAGCATTAGGCCCTGTTACATGACGCAACACCGGCTTTTCAAGTTCTAACGGATGAGCAAGAAGGATGGCTTGAAAGGCTATTACCGAATAAAAACTGAGTGAAACTAAAATTGGAGAAAATGGAACCAAACAGAAAGGTTATATACAAGCTCTTCTTTGCAAGCAAGACCATATCCATGGACAAGGGTGGTCTTCTCGTGAGCTTCTCAGTCAGGTTAAAGGACCCGGAGCTGAGCAAGGAAGGCTGCACAAAGATCTAGGAACAGGAACTGTGGACCCTGGACCCGCTGTAGATCAAGCAGGTACTTATCCTCGCGTGTTTTGTAAAGCTGTATGGGTAAAGTTCCACAGCAGCAAAAAGTATCAGTGTAGAAATTTAGGAAAATGCTAAAAAAAAAATAATAATAATAAATTGAGTTCGAGTTTAAGCACTTTTTTTCAAAGTAACTTAAAAAAATAAATTTGGAACATCTATTAGTCATACTAAACTTGAAAATTTCATGTGTTTAGTCCATGGCCAATCCAAATGCAGGACAAGTGTTAAAACATGGGCTATCAGCCCCCTCCTACCATGCCATTGGGTTCCTCTTCCCAGGATTAGACTAATCCTCCATAACTGGTTCGAGACACAAACGTAGCCTAGGTGTCTGATTCAATCCAGACACTTCATCAATGGCACTCATCGATAAGTAGCTTCTACTTGCAATGCAGATGACAAATTTTCTATCAACTTGGTACTAAATGGTATTATTCAATGCCAGAATTTTTTAAATAAAAAATAAAACCGCAGCTTTTGTAACAAGGATATCCAATCCTCATTATATTCATAAACTGATGGATTTTGCCTTTACAAATATTTATAGTTAATGATATTATATTGAAATTTGTGAAATTAATGATAGAATAACAAAATTACCTGCAGTTCAAACTTGACCACATTTGGTGACCTCGCAACACCATCATTTTCAATGATGGTGGAATCATCCCCGAAATAATGATTACTGTGCATAGGATTGCTAACCATGCCTTCATGAATACCAGGAATCCAGCGGCATTTCATGTTGTAGTGCCCGATCTTTTTCCAACACACATTCAATTCTTGCAGAGCTTTGAGAACTTCTGTCATTATCTCACGAGGATGAGCCCGAGACTGTCAAAAGGAGAGGATACCATCAATGACTATTATGGAATACAAATAATTACGTCCAAACAGGATGTAAATAATAAAACACTTAGGGCCAGTTTGGTTGGAGAGAAATAGCAAGAAAACAAAAGAAAAGAAAGGTAAGAGGGAAATGACATATTGTATTTGATATAAATCATTTGAGGCAAAGAGAGGAAATTGAGGGATACAAATTAGGCATGATGATTAGATTTGTTATCCTTTCAAAAATGGGAGCAAATGGAAGAAAATGAAAGGTTTTCAGCTACAAAGTTTAATAAAACATTTTTAGGACCGATTTTGCCCTTATTTTATAAAAGACAAAATCAAAATACCATGAGCCATAGGTGAAAACCGGCCTCAAATCCCTTCGCAATCGAAGGTGAAAGCGGGAAAAAGATGGCAAAACCCTTTTTCCTTACTTTGTCAGCCGACTTGCAAGCTGCTCTAAGAACATGTGGACTTCACGAGCTATCAGGTAATAAAGAAGGGCAGGAGAATGATTTAGAGAATCATCTCTTTATGAAGATAAATCTCATTATAAATTCGATTATTCCTCTCCTTACTGACTTCTCTAACTAAGGGAGTTGACTTCCAACAGTTAAATAAAGTAAGTAAAGGATCTTAGCCACTACTGAGCCACGAAGGGAGGGATCCATCAGTTTCCCTCTCGGTACTTAGATCTTCCTCTAGAACTTCTCCCATTCTTTTTGAGCCAGCCCTACCCGATTGGCCAGACCTTACTTTGTTTTCAAATTGTCGCATTGGTTTAAATGATGTTTAGCACAATTTTTATATTTGTTTTATTATTTCTTACCTATATATTTGTCTTTAAATGTGATAAGGTGGTAAATTTATCAAAATAATTAATTTTCCTTTCTTTCCCCAAACCTGATTAAGTGCTAAGACAATCGTTTCCTTTCTTTTGCCTCATTAATAAGCCAAACATGGTAAGAGGTTAACACCATCCTTTCATTTCTTTTCTTTTCTCTCATAACTAATGTTATCCTTTCTTTTCTTTTCACTACTATTACACGAAACATAGCCTTAACCTGCCCCTGACATGCATGTGCTCACAGAATGGGATTGAAGTGATTGCCTAAATCTCTTAAACCAGTTTAAACAAGCATCAAATGCAAACTGAAGCACCAATGGGTATTAGCCTAGTTGGTATGATCTCTCCTCCCCAAAGGGAAGGTTGAGAGTTCAAGCCCTGTTAAGGGTAATATTGTGGATGTATGTGTGTTTGCTTGAACTTTTCGAAAAAAAATAAAGCAGGTTGATCATAGAGGCTTCAGGCATGCCATGCTGATCCGCTCAATGCCTCTATTTATTGTTGCACAAGTACAGCAAGTTGGTTTACATCCTCCCATCCTCAAATAAGAACAGCATAAACTAAACAAACTTAACCTGAAGTCCAAGAGCCCATTTCCTCTCAACTGGAAACTGGGGTTTTGAGCCTATTCCTTGATAATCCATATATCCTGGAAAGCGTTGCCCAGCAGCTGGAGCTGTTGTGTCATTTGGATTCACACGGTTGAAACCATATTCCTACAGAAATATGCACAAGACATTATTATATACAGATACAAATTTAGAGTAAAAGATAAGAGTACAATAGGGACTATAATACCATGTAAATAGTATAAATTGCTTATCCAGAGCACACATGGCATGTGCCTAGCACAATGAAAAGTACAAAGTTACAGTACACACCAAGGAGATCATTCAGACCCAAACAAAATGTAAATCAGTCATATTCAGGACAAACTTTTGATAATTTTTTTAAAGTGACATTAAATTTCTAAGGTGATATCCATTGCGGAGCCACAAAAATAGTGTCACATTCACACAGGTGCTAACATATTGTGTGATATGATTACGACCCTCATATCTTAAAAGTTTCTATACACAGGAGAATTAGGGCCAGCCAATCCTACAAACGACTAAATTGATTTTCTACTTTTAGTTTTTTCCTCTCTCAAATTAGAAGGACCAATCCTTCAAAAGGGTAGTGATTCTTCTTTTAATCTATTATTATTTAAAATTTTCATTTATGCTTTATTCTATTAGGTCATTGAAAATACTAGCACTTCTTCTCCCTGAGAGTATAAATATGATCCTGTGAAAATTTGAGGAATACTTCTAGTTTCAAAGTTTAACTTTTTTTGTCATGGTACTGCTCATCTTACTTTAAAACATTGGATAAATAACCCCATAGAATAAACAACTATGAAGACTAAACAAGTATGATAAATTAATTTTAAAGCAGAAATATACACACCATAGACTCCTGAAACTCCGCCCCAAGATAGCCGCTGGAAGCCCGGAACCGGTTGTCTAATAGCAAATAGTACGCAACAGTAGCCTGCATATATTCAAGATTTAAGAATTTCCACCATTTATAACAATTTGAAAATGGCAAATGGTTACCTCATTCTGTAGTCGGTTGCGAAGAGAATCAACAAGGCTGTTCCTGTCAAATCCCATCTTTACAACTTCTTGAAGAATCTCCTCGTCAATCTGCAATTAGAATATTACTTTAATTGTCAATGTCCCAAGGTTAGATGCACATAATATAAACTATTTACACCTTGATCATGAGCAGGAGCTTAAAAAATTTCTACTGAAAGATAAGGATATATTAATTCATGTTGCTAAGATTTATCTAATTCTACAAGATCCATGCATTATTCCATCACATGTTTGCTGAAATATTAACCAGAATAAGAACAACTGTAAACTGTGTCAGATGATTTATCATCGATGTCAAATGGAAATATTTACATGAAGAAAATGTAGGGAAAAGGTCCCCAAATGGGAGATGAAGATAAATACAACAAAATGAAATACCAAAGCAATCAACAACCCCATGACTGAGTTAAAAAAAATCCCCATCATTATAAAGTGACCTACTGCAAGACTCAACTCAACTCAATAAAGCAGTTTCCCTCAAGTACTTGGATCAACTACATGAATTTTTTGTTTTTCTTTTTGTTTTTCTTTTTCAACCACTCTATCCAAAGTTATAACCTCAGTCAAACCACATGTTACCATATCCATCCTTACTAACTCTACCCATGTTAACTTTGGTGTTTTCCATCCCTAGCATTACCTCTGAACCATGTCACTCTTCCTAAGTCACACTTAGTGGTCTTCTTTGTACATGTCCAAACCATCTTAATCAACTTTCTCTCATTTTATTTTCAGTTGGTGCTACTTCAACCATTGCTTGAATGTGCTCATATCAAATTCTATCCTTTCTTATCTTACCGCACATATATCTCAACATTCATGTCCACCACACTAGCTTTATTCATATGGTGTTTCTTATTGTCCAACATTCTGTCCAAAAATAACAGCTGATCAGCCTGGCCTAATAGCTGTTTTATATAACCTCCCTCTAAGTCAATGGCATATGCATCACAAAATATATTGAATGTAACCCTGTTTAACCCATACGTTGATCACAAAATATGATCAATTGCAAGGCTCCAAAAAAAATAATAATAAAGAAGAAGAAGAAGGCGAGCCTCTTCTCATTTGTTCAAACCAAGGAGGAAACATTAATAATCAATTTGATCAGATGTAGTGTGAGCACCATAAATATTTACCTCGAATAGGGTACAGCCACTTATTTAAAGGATGATTGGCAATGTCAAAATAAAAATCAAAGTTCCAGAGCTATATTGTTAAATAGAAAGAAAATTATAATAGTAAGTTCCTCAACACCCTAGAGAGATGCGTGTGTCTATGTTCAGATATACAACACCACATTCTTGTTTAGATAACTAATGAAGCAATAAAACTAAGCCAAATGATGGTTTCTTTATGGATGGAAGGCATACACCAACATTCTCTATTAAAAAGCAAAAACAGCAAAACTCTGATTGACAGATTCAATCAGATTATCACAAAACCTTTTTCGCTTGTTGCAATGTATCTGGTGGAGGTACAGCTAAGTAGCGCGGAAGATGAGCTTGGAACCATGGGTGTGTACGAATCTCAGGAATAGTCATTCGCTTCATAGGGTCAACCACAAGCATCCTAGGGATCAGATCTCTTGCACCAGGTGATAGATGGCTGGGAAGAGTGTATATCCCACCCTAAACAACAAAATGACACAAGTTCAGTATGTAGTCTCAGTTAAGAATATTGATACATTTGATAAGATGAATTTCAGACTTATCAAAAATTAAATAAATAAATAAGAAATAAGATGAATTTCAGAAATTGTGGTAAATTATTAAAAAAACATATACAATGAGAATAAGAGGACAAAATCTAGGAGGATAGGATCTCAAATATAATATAGGTTAAATGCTCCGACACCCCCTCAAGTTTACCTTTATTGCTCATAGATTAAAGTTATAGCCAAAAAATTGCTATGACAACCCCTATCAGAATTAACAGCAGTTTGTTTTTTCCGGAAAAAATAATTTTACTATTATACCCCTTGCTTTACTTAACACACGCCTGCTGATGTGTACAGTGAAAATGAGGAATGTCTATTTTGCCCTTGATTTTATTACCTGGCACAATCTCCATCAACAAAGTTTAGATTAGTCACACGATCATCTACCCCTCATCCACGCCATCTTTCGCTGTCACAACCACTTTCTTCACCACCGCCGCCACAACAACCCACCATCTTCACTACCACCGGCCATAGTCACCACCACCGCCGCCACTCCATTTTTTTCCTCTCTCTCCTCTACATACACTTTCATCTTCGACTCCTAAATTCCCAACACACACACACACACACATATACACACATTGTGGCTGTATAGAGAGCAATCATTCAATGATTCAATGGCGACGATATATCTAGGAATTGGGTTCTGCAAATCCAACTCCATCATCTACAGCAAACGATCCCGTACCTTTACCTTCGAATAACTCCCTCGACGTCATCACATTAATCTCCTCGCGTCCCCACCACAGCAACATCGCTACTGGTCGTCGCATCTCCATCTCCAACGTCTGGACTGATTTCTTTGCCTCATCTATTTTCGCTATGGGATACGCAAAGGCCATGTCATCTTCATCCTCCTCTCCCTAAAAAAATCATCAAATTTTACGTTCTATTGTTAACCAGGGTTTGAAATATTTTTCTGATCTGGGATGTTTGCAAGCGTAAGTTTAAGGTTCATTTTTGTTTCATCCCCTTGATTACTAAACTGTTTTTTTTTTTTTTTTTTTTTTTTTTTATCCTTACCAAGATTCCTAAACTGTTCATTGTGTTTGCTTTTGCCTTTGGGTTGAGCGTGAAGATATTTGTTAGATTGTAAAGCCAATATAAAACTTGAATGTTGACTATAAACATTTGTTTAAGGTTGTAGACTCATCTCAAGCAAAAGTCAGTTTTTTTAGTGTATGTGTATTTGTATCGGTAGGCTTTTTAGGGTTTCAATTTTTTGCAGTTTTCTTATAGAATTTTTTTACCCATTTTGATTACATTCAACACTAATTGATGGATAAATGTGATAACAAATTGGAAAATGAATTTGGTTGAGTTTAAATCGCGTTTGTTTTGTATATGCGCGTGTATATGTGCGTATGTGGGCTTCTGGGTTTAGATTCTTTGCAGTTTTGATTGAATTTTTTTGGTTGATTTTGACATCAACAATGATGGTCAAATATGATTCCAGTAAATTCCACTATAAATTTGGTTCAGATTGATTATAAGCTTTAAGATTTAATGGGTGAGGGTATAAAGGTCCAATTAACTAAGGCTAAAATTATTCTTAAAATAATGGAGGGTAGTTTTGACATTTAATATTTTCAAATTGGCTGACTTTTGACTTGACTAACGGTCAACTAACAGAAAGGGGGTGTTAGGGCAAAGTTAACCAAACCTGAGGGGAGGTTTAAGCTTTTTTTCCACTAGTTTAATCTGTGAGCAATTAAGGCAAACATGAAGGGGTGTCAGAGCATTTAACCCTATAATAAAAGGTGTCCACATAAAGTTTGTAAGAATCATATGATCGTAATTCCATTCATGGTTCAGTAGTGCTGATTCCGCATCTTCAAGCACAATTAACGGACAAGTTAAAAGCTCATGTACAAACTAGATACTTCACACAAGAAATGTTAAAAATCCTAAAACTATTAAGGACATTAAATAGATGAACTAGTAGTTATTCCATTCGTGGTTCAGTGCTGATCTCTGCATCTTCAAGCACAATTTAGAGACTAAGTTAAAAGCTCATGTACAAACTAGATATGCCCACCAGGGGAGGAGTCCAAGAAGCTTCTCAACTGGGAGAGCTGGCAAGGTAGGAGGGAAGCATAGCATCAAAACCCATGCTATCCTAGAATTCTTAAAAAAGAGCAGTTATGCCCAACGGAGTGAATCTGATGATGTGGATCCTACTCCTCCTCGCTATCCTCAGCGCATTTCAAACCCCTTTATGCATCATTTCAAGCAAACAGACCTAGAATGCAGAGGGAGGTACGCAATTGGATCTCTTTTTATCTCCCCATGGTTAATCTAGTTGACACCAGATTGAAATCTAGGAATTTTCTTAAAATTTCTAATTTGGATAACAAGGCTTGCACAAGAAATGTTCAAAAATCTAAAAGCATCGAGGGCATTAAATTGATGAACTGGTAGTTAAGATTGACGGGCAAGATATATTTACGCCCAGGGGGGTGAGAGAGACAGGCAAGGAGAACCAGTTTCACTTTCTAGAATTTATTAAAAAAGATTCTCTCTTAAATTTGATCACACAATGCTTTCGAACTCACCAGAATTTCAAAAATTGTCTCCCCATTTGGGAATGAATTCAACCCATATGAACAGTGCATAACTTAAGTGTGTGTATCTCTATTTGATTGTGCACGTGTTTGTTTCAAACCTCCCTCGACTTCTCACAAACTAATTCCACTTCACTGGTGACAGCAATTTTTTATGCCATCAAACTTTATGGCCTTGATGCACAACAAGATGCAAAAGCGGGCCATGTTAAAGGTAAAGTGTCCACCAAGTCTCAGAGCTACCTCAATCCATGTAAACGCGAACTGTACAGAAGCACAGAAAACTAAGATCCAACAGGAAAATGCATGTCATATATGAAATATACGCATTCATGCTGAGAGAGAGAAGGATTTCTTAAAAGCTCCTCCCACACCCCGCATGCGCGGAAAGAGAGAGAAAAAGAGATGTGGAGAGAGAGAGAGAGGAAGGGGGGGCAAAGATCTATCACTCTTCCCAAACACAACACAAAAGGCAGTGGAACAGCACTCCAAATCTGCAAAACCCTGCTCATAGTATAACCCCATCCATACGAAGCAAATCTCCAACTGATCTTCAGTGGTCTCATAAAGCACCAAAAAGAGATAGCAATAAGCACCATAAATATTTGGCTACTGAATTGATAACAATGGGGGATGTCTCATAAAACCACAAAAGGAGATAGAATAGGCACGACAATTCTCTGGCTACTTAATAACAACAAGCTTCAGCGCAAAAGTTTAGTCACTGAAACAAAGATATGTGACACACCAGCTACATAGAGAAAATACATCAGAGACTTCAGCGAGGAGTGTCACGACCATTTCACAGAACTTGAAGCTTTAGAGAGAACAATGGACAACAAATTTTGGAAAATATTATATTCATACTTCTATCCAAGAAAAAATGAAGTTAAATGGATTTATAATACATGATCAGCTTGGAACCCAGAATAGTTGAAAACTTGGAATAAGGCTTAGATGAGGATCTCATGAAGATCCTTGCATGACTAAATTTTAAGGTTGAAAATTAACCACTTAAATAATGGGTACCACAAAATGAAGTGGCACCTTGCTTCCCAATCATTTTCCAAATCCACTTAAAAAGAAGAAGCATATTTAGCCAATATAAAGGATGTTATAAAAGGTAACCTGGATATACCTTTATTTTTTTGAAAAGGTTAGGAATATTTTCATCGTCAAAAGGAAGGGTGCCACAAAGAAGCGCATACAAAATAACTCCACAGCTCCATACATCTACCTCAGGCCCAGCATACAACTTCCCAGATATGACCTATAAAATTGTTCAATCAATGCAAATAATTACCTCAAAAAACTAAACAATTATATTTAAATAATAAAATATATGTTGAAATTATACGCCAGTGATACCATACCTCTGGCGCAGCATAGTTCGGGCTTCCACAACTTGTCTTCAGAAAGTGACCATCCCGCATGATATTGCTCAAACCAAAGTCTGCAATCTTCACGTTACATTTAGAATCCAAAAGCAGGTTCTCTGGCTTAAGGTCTCTATGAACCACCATATTCCTGTGGCAGTACTCCACACCAGATATTATCTGTTTTCAAAGTATCATCGTACAGTTCATATTGCAAGTTTCTATACTCTCAAAAAAAAATGGGAAACCCTGGGAAATCTTGCAGATGAATAAGAAATTTCTACCTGCTGAAAAAAATTGCGAGCTTCATCCTCCTGTAACCTACCCTTCTCCACAATATAATCAAACAGCTCACCAGACTTCACATACTCCATCACAACATAAATATCTGCTGGTGTCTCTATAACTTCGTATAGTCGTATGATGTGAGGATGCATAAACAATCTCAATATTTTGATTTCTCTTCTAACTGCAAAATATCAACCATGTTGAACAGTTGTCATAATCAAACCCAGCATTAAGGTACAAAAAATTAATAAATAAATAACCATACTAACTACCAACAAAGGAAAAAAATCAATCACAATGTCATTGGATGCCAGGTTATAAATCCACATATAATAATATTATACATTCTTTATAATATCCAAATAAAATAAAATGAACAAACAGAATAAATATAACTGAAAGAGAGAGAGAATGAGAACAAAGAATATGATAACATAGTTAAATAAACTGCAATTAACATGGCGTGCCAACAACTTACAAATTTTAACAAATTAAACTGCAAAAAACAACGATGGCAACTAATGATGTGGCTAAAGCATTAGTTGAGTTTCAATTCCCAAAGTGACTGTTCAAACACAATCAAACTCTAAAATCATACAGGATATTGATCTAAAAACAAAAGCAGTAGCTCAAGGACTGAGTCAAGGACCAATAGCATATCAAAATTTCAATTTAGATCCACTCAATTTTAATGCCAATAAACAAAGATGGGAATTCAAAATTACAAGTATATACTGAACATTTTGGACACTTCAACTTATCAGCAATTTTTAACTGATTAGAGATAGAAAGGAAACAAATGTTGTGGATCAATGGGATTCCAAAATAAGAGACCAGTATATGATCAATTTCCAGCAGTAGCTCCTTTGCATTCTCACACATATTTTGGAGAGAGAACTACAGAAAATATGTTGGATAGAGAATTTCTTTGGGAAATTTCAGAAATCGTCTACTTATACATCATCAGCCTTCTTGCCAGGAAAGTGAATTCTCGTTTGCCTCAGAAAGAAAATAAAAGAAGGGGGGTGGAAGACGTTGTTCATGATTTTACTTTCAAAAAACTATACAAACTAAAGACCCACAAGAACAATGGAGCATAACATAATAAATAAACTCACTCATTAAAAGGAATTAGACTGCAATTGAATGCCCAAAGGATAGATTATAAGATCACTTGACTCCCAGAAAATCTATTTCTCAAGAAATTGATTCTATTTAATAAGAAACAGACAGTGTCTATGGAATAAATGTCTCAAATTCCAGATGGTCTAATCTTATGCTGTTCTCCAAATCAGGATGAAGAATGCAGTGGCCTGTTAAATTATTAAGAAATTTTAAAAATACTAAGGCATTGTGTAACAACTTCTTAATGCAAGCTCGTAGAATGACATAATAATACTGAAAAGTAGTACAGAGTGATCATATAAGCACGTGATCCATACCTTTTTCTTCCATTTCCATGCTCTTTATCTTACGACGGTTAAGGATCTTGATAGCAACTTTGTACCCTGATAATGCATGCTCTGCAATTTTCACCTTACCAAATGAACCAATGCCAAGAGTTTTCCCAAGCTTATAGTTCCTCAAAGACATATCCACACTACTGCCACCATGGCCAGATGTTCCATCCATTTTCATAAACTGAAAAATGGTTGTAAAAAAACAGGTCATTAAAGAAAACACAAACACCAACAGGCCTGTGGTCTAGCGGTACCAGGCCCCTACTTCCCAAAGGGAGGTCAGGGGTTCGAACCTCAGTGGAGGCATGTGTGTGTGAGTACCAACTATGAAAAAAAAAAAAAAAAGCAAACACAAACAATCGGGGACATGTAATGACGAAAAATATTTGCACAAGAACTTGTGTGAAAGAAAAATGATGTAAAATCATGATAAAACTAAATATTCGAATTAAAAGGTGTTAGCCACATTGAACTCAACATTAATGCAGTGACAACTGACAAGAATCTTAAAATGAATATTTCCCATAAAATTTATCCCTCATGCAAGGGCCGACCAAACTAACATGGAATGAAGTGATCAGAAATTATTTCAAAAAACTATATCTAGTAAAAGATACGGCATTTAATAGAAAGAAATGGAAAAAGAGAATCGATGTAGTGGACCCCGTTTGTATGGGATAAAAGCAAAGATGATAATGATGCTAGGTCCACCGCCAAGTAGGTAATTCTCTAATGCCATATCTTAAAATGAATATTTCCCATAAAATTTATCCCTCATGCAAGGGCCGACCAAACTAACATGGAATGAAGTGATCAGAAATTATTTCAAAAAACTATATCTAGTAAAAGATATGGCATTTAATAGAAAGCAATGGAAAAAGAGAATCGATGTAGTGGACCCCGTTTGTACGGGATAAAAGCAAAGATGATAATGATGCTAGGTCCACCGCCAAGTAGATAATTCTCTAATGCTAAAGTTAACTGTGATAATATCAACTATCAAGTACTTATCACATGTAAGGGACTTCCAATAAAAAAAATTGGCTTTCCTTCTACTCTTTATATATTTTCATAAAAGTATGAGAACATAATATCATATTGCCATAAGCAAGTGCATTATTATGATGTACTTACTCACTTATGCAACTTGTGGACTGGTGTGAAAATTCCAGAAAACCAATCAAACCTTATTTTCACAGGAATATATAGTGAATCAAAGCAAGACTTTTAATTTTTATTTTTCTTATATATCAATATATATATATATATATGTATATGTATATTTATGTATATGTATATGTATATGTATGTATGTATATAATGCAACTTCACATTAAGTGGATACAAATCCCACATCCAAAATATCTTCACAAGTTTGCTAATAGTCCCTCCTCTGAGACCATTCGAAGCAATAGTCTTAGAATGCATAAATGGAATTGCTTTACAACTATTAGAAACAACTCTACCTCAAGTTTGTTCAACAAAAACAGTCTAGCACATTGCAACACAATGACAACTCAGATTTGACAGAAAAAATAAAATACTTCAGCAATCAAAGTAATATCTCTCAAGTGGCCCTTTCAGCCCTATTCATCTCAAAACATAAAATAAAACAAAAAAAAAAAAACAAATAAAATAATAATAGTTTTTTAAAGGAATTAAGTAAAACTAGTGACATTCTTTCTGAAAATGAACAAACCAAACAAATTACAGAGTAATTGCAAGTGAAATCGTAACAAAAAATAATAATAATAAATTAAAGATTTCTATGGCACAAACCCTAATCAGCGAGAGTGATTCAAATCTTATTGCGTAATGCGTATTTATCGATATCAGATATCAATATTTCCGTAATGAAATGGAAAAGAATACCAAAAATCGAATAAACGGAGTAACCCTAATAACACAGATCTGAATCCGGAATAAAGAACGTACAATTCAATAATACAACCACAATTTTCAAAATTTCTAGACATAATATATATACCCTATAGGGACTTACCTAAGAGAGAAGAAACGGCGATTAATTCTAGGGAAAAACAAGCTTCGAGGAATCAAAAGTTGCAGAGAGTCTTGTATGAATTCCCGCCAACAGAAGAGTGATATCGATCTTAATTGTAGATTTGTAAATGTATATACATGTATATATGTAAATTCTCGTATATATATATATATATATACGAAATGGTGATACTGACGAAGAAGGCAAGGCGCTACACTTCACTCTCTCTCTCTCTATCTCTATATCCGTGTATGTGTATGTGACGACTGTGTGTGCTGGGGAAACATTATTCTTATAATTAACGTGCGTTAAAATTCATCATATGAGCATTGAATGGTCATTAGCGCTTGAGCTCAAATTATGGCGAGTATCTTTATCTTTCCTTTTTCTATTTTGGGCTGAATTAAATTTCGTAAGACTTCCAAATTTGTGCAGAAACATTAAAATATATATATATATATATATATATATATATATATTTTCATAATGGTGGTGCCAAATATCTTAGAGCGAGCACACTCTAATTCCACTGAACACATACGGACCACCATGGGACGCCTATAACTTTCTGTGTTCTACCACCATCGAACACATACACAACCACCATAGGACGCCCATAACCCTATGTGTTCTATCACCATCGAACACATACAGTTGAGGACGGAGTCAATATTTAATTTTAAGGGAACGTAATGTTTTTGATTAAAAAAAATATATTCAAATAATATGATAAATATAGTTATATTTTGAAATCGATACATGAAATTAAACACATCGAGTTTATAAAATTACAACAATAAATGTAAATAAGAAGATAAAAAAAAAAAAAAAATGTTACATACTTATATATATATATATATATATATATATATATATATAGGTGCAAAAAGAAGAATTTTAAGAAGTGGAAAAAAAAAAAAAAAATGAGAAAACTTTGAAAAGAAAAAAATTAGGATTTAATTGACCGAAGTGAAATAGAAATGTAACTTAAAAAAAAATGAAATTAAAGGAATTTTGAAAAGTAAAAGAAGAGAAAAAATAAAAAAGAAAATAAGAAAATAAGATATAATTTTAGTAAATGAAAATTTTAGGAGGGTGGTATACTATAAAATTTCTCCTACTTATAGTTAAAAAATAACAAAAAAAAAAAAAAAATGATACATATATAAGGGGGGTTGGGCCAAGGGGCATGTGCCCCAAGCATGCATTGGCTCTGCCCGTGCATACAGTCTAACTACTCCATTAAAATTATTTTTATTTTTATTTTTATTTTTGGCGCCTGATAATAGTGGTATCCGACATTTAGAACACTTTCTAATTCCACTATACACATACAGGCTTGTGTAACAATTACTCCGACACCCCCTCTCAAAATTAACAGCAGTTTATTTTTTAACGGTCCACATAGTTTTATCATTGTACCCCTTTCTTTATTTAATAGGATGATTGCATTATACACTAAAATTACCAAATGTCTACATTGTCAACGCAGCGCATAATTACAACACATAATTACAACTCAGCCAATCCCATACTTCTGCAAATCTTCTTCCTCCTCTTATTTACTAAAGCAGCCCATCGAACATCAATACACTCCCTCTCAAAATTAACAGCAGTTTATTTTTTAACGGTTCACATATTTTTATCATTATACCCCTTTCTTTATTTAATAGGATGATTGCATTGTACACTAAAATTACCAAATGTCTACATTGTCAACGCAACACATAATTACAACACATAATTACAACTCAGCCAATCCCATACTTCTACAAATCTTCTTCCCCCTCTTCTTTACTAAAGCAGCCCATTGAACATCAATGCACTTTTATATGCTCTGAGTCTCAACTTAAAAAGTCCACTTAAAAAATTTTAACTCACAATTTGAGACCGAAGGAGTATATTATATATATATATATATATATATATATATATGAGAGAGACGCATGAAATAAAAAATGGACAGAGCTTAGTCCTTTTCTCATTGTAGATCATAGGTTCGAAAAATTACTTTCAAATCTTGCACCAGGAGTTTTCACGAGTAATTTGCTTAATTTTTTTAAAAAAGGAAATTTTTACTGTGGCAAACAATTCACTTTAAAATGGGTGTATTTTCGAATATTTATAGGCTTATTTTATCACTGTTCCAACTTATAGGATTAAATCATAATTACGAGTACATTATTGGTACTTTATCTTAATGAATCACTAAGAAGTTGTAACAAAGGCTATCATTTTAAAGAGTTAAACACCAAACATTGAGCGTCATTTGCTTGATGAATACAATACAAGATAATTGGGATCAACTACGACATTCAGCTTTTGGACTACAGTTACAAGCTACAATGTGCTTGCTCTTTCAACCTGTTCAAAGTATCATACTTGCCACATATGACACTCAAAACTCTTTACTACGAATCGAATCCATGATATGTGTTCTTCGATCTACAGATATGATGAACAAACAAAATACAGCTGCGTGTACGTCTATACAATGAGTTCTTAGATGGTACAAAAAGTGAGATAGAGCGGCAGCAATACACCAATGCAGTAGTTTTATGATCCCACGCGCCTCAGTAATCAGGGATGGAAGCGAAACGATAGCCTTGGGCACCCCTCCACGAATAATACGCAATTCGAGTCTCGTAAAATCCTGCAGTCATTAATTGGTTCAATACTTATACAGGCAGTTGCTTCAGCTACTGACAAGCAAGAAGAAAACTAGAGCATGCATTACTACCGAGAGCTATTTGGTAGACTCAGAAATGTAGTTGGAATCATTATAATTCAGAACATACAGCACAAACAAAGAGAGACTGTAGTTTATAACACACGTATAAGCAAAACAAACAAAACAAAAACACGGCTGCTGTTATAAAAAGCAGAATTGTTAACTTTGTTGACGCGAAGGGTGCATTTATTATAATAGCTATATCAGCAGCAGTTAACAGTTGGCAATTCAGGTGCTGCTCATGCTCCAGAGCCTAGTTTGGCAATTTAGGTGCCGACCGCAAATACTACTCTCCTAAATTTGGAAATCAGTGCCAGTTCACAACTTGGAATCAATACCTTGTTGTGTTTGTCTTCAATTTACAATTACAGAGTAAAATTTTCGTTCATAATGAACAAATCATGGAAAATTTTCCATGACTAAACAAGCTAATCATGTGAAATCCTTGTGATACCAAAAGCTACTAATAGACAGATATGTTAGAATTGAAAAGCTAAATGAATCGATTTTGGAGAGCCACTTTAATGAAATTGAATTTGCAGAGGTGGTTGCTTATTGATATTTTGTAGAAAGCATATTTACACAAGCAATCTAAATATAATTTGTCATTGCTTTTCACACACAAAGAACCCTCAAATCATGCTCATCCTCCGTGTTCAGATAATTCTCAATACACACTTTAGATATATCAAACTAAAGAACATATTAGCTTGTTAATTTACTTTTTGAGCAACGAAGGGGATTTTTTGGATGTCTCATAATAATTGATCCCATTTTGTCTGCAGCATTTTAAAACACAAGGTCATACTAAAATTCGAGGAATCAAAAACAAGGGCAGGTTCTGTTCAGGATTTGGTAGCGCAAAATCATAAAGTAGAAAGAAAGAGACACTTTCTACTTGTCAAAACTAACAATTTTAATTCAATAAAAAGGCTCACAGCGGAAGACATATACATACTTAAATTTTCCCATTGTATAATCAGTGAACCACTATTTAAACAAAATAACCAATAAGCAAAAATGAGCTTCGTTTACCTGGGAGGAAGGCAAGAAGTCCAAGTCCTAGAAGGCCATAAGCTTGGGATGGTTCTCCTCCCATATGACCTGTGAAAATGAAGAAGGAAAGGAAGAGAAGCATGCATCCAAGACTCAGCAGGAAAAGTGCGAGCCCAATGGATTTCCAAGGGATTTTATCAAAAGTTTTTGGCTCATAGTCAAATCGACGGTCGTGTTGGCTGCCACTACCATAATAATCATCATCATCGGCAGCAAGACGACTGTATTGAACATTCCGCTTAGATGCCATACCAGTAAATTCCAACTCTGGAAATTTTCACAAAAATGTGTCTGCAAACACCAGAAGCCTTCAAGTTCGAACCGTAATACAGAGCTTCAAACATCAAATGAACATAAAGACACCAAAAGCGGAATACGGATAAAAGGAACACTATATTGTGGGTCACAAGTCATACATGTATCTGGCCTAATCATGTCTAGAACATCAAAAAGGTAAAACTAACAGATTAACACAAGAACAGTTCATTAATATATATATATATATATATATATATATATAAGGAAGATTGTATTAGAAGGCCTTCTAAAGGGGAACACATCCTGCAAAAGCAATACAAGGACCAAGTAGGGTGTCATGAAAATTTGAATATCCATGGTTCAACAGCTGAACAAAGACATAATTTTGTTAACACGAAATTTAGCTGAACACCGTGTCATGAATGTCAATCAGAACTTCACTAAATAAATTGCGTCATTTGGGAATTTTCATCAGAAAACTCAATGCTTTTAATTGTTTCTAATTATCCAATCGGATTTCAAAACTGCTTAAGATGGCCATTTTTAAACAATGAATCCAAGTCTAATTTTGGGTTTCTGCAGTATGTTCCAAATCTAGTGCCGATTTACAAATTAGGGTTCTTGGCGGAATCTGAATCCGGCCAAACATGGTCATAAAACAGTATACAAACGTGTGTGTAGTAAATATATAAGAATTGAGACATGGGTAATATGAAACATTAATTGAATTTATGATTAATAAGACTTGATGGTCAAAATGGTTACAGGCAAACCCTATACTAATTGAAACCAATTCAATAAAATAACACCAGAAAATATATATATACAAAACATGATCTATTCAGATCTCATATATACGATAAGAGAGCGAACAAAACATATAATTTAGATTAAAGGTAGTGACTTTGTACCGTTAAACTCGCCTTGCTAGAGAAAAGTCGCCGCCGTGATAAAACCACCGGTGGGGGAAGGATGGGTTGGTTTGGAAGAAGATGAAAGATGTGTCAACTCCTTACTTCCCTTATAGTCCCGTTCCTTTTGTCTCCCGAATTAAAAACTAATTATGTTGTTTGAAAATTCAATATTTTAATTATAAATAGATTTAATATCAATTAATATTTCTTAAAAAAAAACATTAGTATAATTATATATGGAACTTAAATGAATTTTTAAGTCAAAGTTAGTTTAATTATCACTGAATATTTAAAATTTAAAAATATATTAAAAAGTTCTCCATTTGTAATAAGTGCTTAAATTTAAAATACTTAAAATTCAATTTATTAAAAAAATTAGAATTTAATTTCTATTAACGTTAATAATCACTTTGCCCTTAAATGGACTCCAACTTTATGCTTATCCATTAAATAGTTAAATGCATGGTTGGATATAGTGATTAATGTTTTTTAAACTATTTGGTTCTTTGGGATAAAATAGTGGTAACAAGTGATACTCATATATTAAAAAATATATATCATAATTATGTAAAATATCATATAAATTGAACTTTTAATATTCATACATTATTTAATAAAAATAGTTACAACAACCCACAAAGATCATAACTTGCCAGACACACTTGCTTTCAAATTAATACATTTATGATTTATGTCAGGTAGTGACACACTCTTGGGTTGGCAATGGTTTCTGAATTTAGGGGTCACGGCCCCAATCATAAAATTCTTGCATGGAAAATTAAAGGTGGTGGACTCCATTTTTACAACTCCTATACAATATAGCATCCTTTCTCGAAATTGCACAACTGTTTTCTCGAAGTTTTTTGAACTTATTAATTCAAATACTATTATAAATTTTGATTAAAATATAAGACATAAGATTTATGCTATTTATCGTTCTAAGAACAATGATTTTAGAGTTAAAAAATAGACAATTTAGATTGTGATTTAAACTGCATGAGAAACTAACCCTATGATCGTTTTATAAGTATGTCGTCAACTAACATTTTTTATGATATGGTATTGTTAGAGTGTGTCTCACATGTTTTGGGGGTTCAATTATGAAAAAATTGGACCGGTCAACTTATGCGGACTGGTCCAACGCCTTCATATATGTGGAAATATATATATATATATATATATATATATATATATATTTTCTGATTAGGAGTGGAAGGCTTGAAAATTATTTTTGTAATTGAAAACTCTTGTGAATAAATAAATGTGAAGAGAAAGAAAGAAATTGCAAGAGAGAGTTGTGATAATTTGAGAGACGAGAAAATGTTTGTATCAAATTCATTGTGAACCTAAGCTGGTTTAGTTTGTGTGTGTGATTTTATTTGTCATTATAAAGTGATTATTATTATTATTATTATTATTGTGTTTTACCTTTTTTGTTTGTCATTGGGATCTTATAGTTATTATTCCTAGCAAATATCATTCATTCACACCAGGGTTGATAATTTTCCTAGTTCTGAACATAGTCGAAAGTTTTGAAAATTGAAAAAACTATACATAGGTAAGAAAATCAATTTATATTTTCTCATTTTATATGAAAAAATATTTTGCACACTATCTTTAAAATTAGAAAAAAGGTGAGGAAAAGCTGTTATGAGTTATTATTGTCATGAGAGATGATGACGTGGAACTGCACAACAATGTGAGAAAGACAGACACACAGAGAGAGAGGGAGAGAGAGAGAGAGAGGCCCATTGTCTCTCTGCGCCAGCGAAATCAGAGACAAAAATAGAATTGAATGAATCAGAATGCAATCGAAACAAATTACACGATAAGCTGTGTGATTCATAAAAAGCCCATAAAACAGTACAAACACAAAAACTCAGGCGACGTCTCTGTCCCTGTCCTTGCTCTTCGTCTTCTTCTTATATATATATACATATATATTTATATATATCAGCAGCTCGAGGAATCGAAAAGGACAAGGTTCGGAACCGCCCGCATTCGGATCCGACACCCCGTCGGGCCCCATCCCCCTCTCTCTCTGCGCGCTTACCCTTGTCGTTGCAGTTGTAGAGAGAGGGAGACCGTGATTTTCTTCTAACTCAGGTCCCTATCTCTCTCAATATACATATATATTTGGGTATGTATGTATAATGAATTCATGCATATTTATGTTTATGGTTCTACTGCATAATGTTTATGAATGATCATCTTCAATGTCATAATTGTTTTCTCGTTTCAATTGCATTTCTCACACACACTCTCTCTTCTCTTCTCATTAATATTTGATCGCTATCAATTTTGTGCGTTTTTTTTTTTTTTTTCTTTCTGATATATGATAGATTTGTTTATCTGTTTTGTTGTTTTTATTTTTCTTTTTAATTTAAAAAAATCTGAATAAGATTTCAAATTTCGTCTAAGGTGTCTGTTATCTGTTTAATTCACGTCTGCTCTGCAGTTAATATTTTTTCAGATTTCATTTTTTTTATGTCATATTATTAGAATATTTTTCTTGATAAGAACTACTTTTTTAATTTCTGAAACAAAAATTATTGTTTATTTTATTTTTCTTTGTTTATATATGCATTTATGTGTATGTACTTAACATTTTTTTTTTTTTTTTTGCTCTGTTCTTGCTATGTCGACAATTGCTGCATTATCTAATTTTTCAAATCTCATGTTTGGTATTTAATTTTTTGTTTGAAGGTGGGCACTTTTTGTTCATGTTCACTTATCCCCTCCCCATACTTCTCCCTCTAACTTTCTCTATTGTTTTAAAAAGGAATGTAAAAAGTTGCACCACATGTTGGATTCTGAATTTATAATTTCATGTTTTTTCCCTCAAGGTTCAAACTTTTTTGGTTCTAGTTCTTTAACTTATTATGGAGAAGTTGAAAATTTGTTTGATATTAGTTTACAAGTACATTCTTTTGATAATTACTTTGTTCATGATAATTATTACAAAATTAATTTTTAGCTCCTAGTTAGATTCATCAAGGGACCGTATAAATTGTGAATTTGAATCTCCATTGATTTTATTTTACATATATGTTATATTTATTCTATTTTATGCAGGTTTCTCATGAAGTGACATGTGCAAGTTTGCAAACGTCTGACTAAAAATTTTTCATGTAGGATCTGATTTTCGTGCGCTCTCTTCATAAATGCTCTAATTGATCGGATTACTTTAAGGTGATTGCTCTTTGCTGAGGTATTTTCTTTATGATTGCAGTTGAGATATAGGATATGCATTGAAATGATGATATTTGCTCGAGTTTCTAACAAAATGATGTTATGTCACTAAGACTCATGCATTTTTGAGAGAGTTGAGTAATTCCTCTTACATTGTGAATTTGTGATAGGGAAAATTTGTATTTGCTGGGGAGATATTGCTGTAAATCAGTGGAGTTGTTTTCATTTTTATTGCAAATCAATTTTCAATCCATATGGATTAATGATTTTGGCTCCTTTTTACATTCTGCTTGTTATTCTTTGCTTGAACCTTATCAGTGGACACTTCAGGTTAGTAATTGCACTTAAAAGAATATCTTCACCAACGCAAGTGTACTCTCTCCCTGTCTGTCTTTCTCTTCCCCCGTGTATGCACCTCGTTCATTCCTATGAATGTATGACATATGTTGCGTTTTGGATATCAAAGATTCATGAAGCAGGAATCATAGGAGACCTTGTGTATAAAATTGTTGCCAAATATGAATTACGCCAACACAATGAAAGTAAGAACAAATATTATTATTTATTTATTTATTTTAATCTTTTCAGTATATACTATCTGTTTATGTGACTACTTTGTATATAGATAGCTGATCGATTCGTATTTTATCAGTTCAGTAAACACTCACATTTAAAATTGATGCCTTGGCCTAGTCATAACTGGGGATCACTATGGAGTGGATTGTCTATAAAAAAAGAATTTAGATTTCAAAGTTAAATGTTATTTTGTGGTTGAATCGGATGCATTAAGGCGTTTTTATGGAGATGTATCTTGGACCATTGGTGGAAGCATTTAAATAGTACCATACCATTTGTTCTAGCAATTGATAGTTCTATATTCTTTGCTTTACAGAATTATTTTGGGATTTTAATGAAGTGAAGTTTCATTTTACTGTCATGTGTGGTTATGGATCTATTTATAATAGTATGAGGTGGGACCACCATGAGGCAGAGCCAGGATTCAAACCCCACAATCTATAAAAATAAATTTATTATATTAGTGGTCTCCAAATGATGTGAAAAGTTCCTTTCATTTCCATGGGATGGCCAAATATTTCCACTGTACATCTCCTAAATTCTTGGACACCTTACTACAATAGTACTTTCACTACTACTTCTGACAGCTGACTCTTCCTTCCATTAGTTCTCGGGGCTATATGATCCTGAACGATATGGTCTTAACTTCAGTATATCACAGCTTCTTCTCAAGGTTGTTAGGACTGAGATAGTGTTTATCAATTTGATCCAGCTGTGGACATACTAAAGAGATGATGACGAGGTACAACGTGAGAATTTAGAGAATGTGCTAAGTTGCAGCAACCTGCTTCACATTGATATGTTCATACACTGTTTAAACAAACTTTACATGCAGAATAGTTTAATTTTCCTTCTAGGGAGATAAGAACTTACATCTAGAATATTTTTACCTGCCATATTTTTTTTTTGGGTACTTTAGGTCCTTTAACTGTTGATTCTGCCTGCAACCTTATAATTTCTATTTATTTATTTTTCATAAGGTGGTTATAGAAAGGCTAAATAGTATTCACATCCCACTGTTGTGTTATCATACTCCACTTCTTTTTTGTTTTTTTAAAGGGAAAATTTTCCGTCAACAACACTCTCACACTCCATAATTATGCCCAAAAGTGCTCTTACACTCCAATATTGAGGGAACTATGCCATTTCATTTATATAAAAAAATCAAGTGGAATGAAGAGTAGATACGTGGAGTCTGGAGTGTGAAACTGCAAATAACACTTATCTACTTATGTTCCTGACTGGCAATGATTTGCTGAGGACTTTAGCTGTAGCCCTTCAAAATAGCAAAAGTTAAGTCTTCTGCATTCTGGAAGTATCTGTTTATGGAGCTAATCTAAACTGATGAGATCAAGTTATATATTTCCTTCTGGAACTGTTTGGTTAGTAATATGTGCATCTGGGCGGTCAATTATTGAAATATGGTTTGAGAAGATATAGAAGCAGGACATTATGATCATGTGGGATGTAACTGTCCAAAAATCTATTCTATGTCAAATTACTGCACTGATAATTGAATGCTGCACATTGATATTTTTCCTTTAAAGTCATGAATTACTAATACCAATCATTTATTGGCTAATTGAGTATACATCTTAGCTCGGTAATAATTGTACTTGCCTTAAGAAATGAAGGAATTGCTAGTGCTGTTGTTATGCACTTTGTGAATGAAAATTTATTTATTTTGAATTCTTTTGGATGCCCTCTGATATCTTCTGTGTCAGGTTCCTCATTTTCCTTTTTGTGTATGTAACAGTGAAGTTGGCATCTTCTATGAAGGCAATATTTGTCATTTTTGAGATTTTTAGAAACTATCATCATGGGTGCTTGTACATCAACACCATCTAAACCAATTAAATTGCGGAGGAAATACCATGTTCGGTTTCGCAAATACCATGGCAAGCTTTCCAATTTTGTCCATCATGGAGCCAGGAAAAAGAATAGCGATGCTGAAACTCGTGTAACTGATTTTGCTGTTAGTGAGTTTCTTCATACGACAACCACCTGCAAAAGATCTGATGTTTCTAATTCAACATTCCATCTCACCCAGTTGGAATGGCACCATAGTGAAATTGATGCTAATGGTATATACTCATGTTTGCTTTAAAAGTTTAATTACCTTTAGTAAATATTTTTCTGAAGAGTGATGGAAGTTCTATAGTTATACCTGATAGGAGGATCACTTTAGTAATTCACTATTTTGGGTCTCAAAATGGAAGGTTTTAGTTTTTAGACAAATGAAAGGAAAACTAATACTACACTGTCCTTTGCAGACTATTCTTTCTGCCTGACGGATTTGGATGGATCATGTTTTAATTTGTGATTTTCTGAGAGGAAATGAATATGACCTAAATACAAACTTTCTTATTGCAAAACATACGCCTACTGTGGGAAGTTTGAAATTGTAAAGTAGCTTAGAAATTCTACGGTCCAACTTTCCTGATCTAATTATTTGAATGGTGAGCCAAATTGAAATAGTACTGAAACGGTTGATTATACATTTTTCTCCCCACTTTACATATTCAGTTAAGTTTCCAAACTTTACATTAGGTGACTAGTAGCTATATACATTTATCATTAAATGTCTTATTGCACAAGCCAAAAAATCTCACATCATGAATGGTGTGAGTATCTTCATATTTGAAAAATATTGAGCTAGTGGATTTAGATTCTGCACGGGTCCTTGATCATGTCCTTAATTTTGTATTTGTTATTAATATATTTGTTAGAATATGCCTAAACCTTTGTAAACCTTAAATCTCCAAATCCTACTTGGGGGCTGTTAGATTTAATCAATAGTTTATATATATATATATATATATATATATATATATATATATATTTTACCTTTATCAATTTTATTTCTATTCCATTTTGGAGTTAAATATTTCTTCATGGTTTGTTGTTTCTATGATTTAAGAGAAGGGTCTAGCGACCTATGCAATTTAATATGAAATTTAAAATCTTTCATCTTTGTTTCTTCTTTCATGTGTTGGTGGTCTTGTTGTTTGCTTAGGCGTATGAATTGGTATACCAGTTGTTATCCACCTGAAGAAATTTTTCATGGTGTTTTTTGTGAAAAGTTTATTAAAAGAGATAGCTTAATGACTTTAAAATGACATATTCGTGTGTTTGCAGTATTTTGCGAAGAGGAAGCATGGTTTGACTCAGTCAGTATTTTGGAGTCTGACTCAGATGATGAGTTCAGTAGTGTGCATGGAGGTAATGAACATTAATCTCTTTTTGACTAATTAGTTGAATAAATGTTACTTCCTATGCAAAAGTGAAAACCGGTATGTCAATGCCACTGAGATAGTAGCTGATATAATGGATCAAATGTCAGTCACCTTCAGGTTGTTTAGCTTCAGGGTACAAACTAGTCTAGGAGATATCTTCTGCTAGTATTCTTCGATTCTTTATGTTCTAAATTTATTGAATTTGCAGAGCCCAAGGGTATCAAATGCTTATGGTTATAGAGATGTTTGTATTTACAGAATTCCTAAATATTTTACTAGGGTCTATTGTATTTTGGGTCTTCATGTGTATGCTTGACTGCTTGCTTTTATGCTGGTAAACTGACCAGTAACTTTGCTGCTAACTCTCGTACAATATCCGAACTAATATATGTTCGTATTTGTATACGTATTTTTTTTTCCTCCAGATTGTTTTCCTAGCCTTTCAAGCAGCATTCTGGAGAACAAGTGTATGTACAAAGAATACCATGAAAGATATCTGAAAATAGATGCTGGTAAAACAGACAAGTTTTTGAGCAAAGATGGGTTCAAGGAATCAAATGGATTTTCACTTATAAGTGCGCAGGGCTATGAACTTTCATGCTTGGGTAAGGAAGAAGAATTTTGCACCAAGAGGAAGAAAAACTATGTAAAAGAGGATGGATTTGATTTTGAAGAGAAAGCTCAAGAGAAAATTTTGAAGTCTGGCTTACCCCGATTGGTTCCTTCATTAAGTTTCAATGACAAGATTGTTAATGCATCAAATTCAGGTGCACAATCTCAAAAAAAGAAAACTGCAGTTATCAGACTTTCGTTAAAGAGGACATCTGTTGAAGGTGAAGAGACCAATGAGTTCTGTAAGTGCACTGCTGATTCTCTTTTCCTTAATTATTACTTTCTTGGTATGGAGTCCATGTTTTTGAGGATTGCTATATTTTGAGCATATTACTCTCTATTGTCTCTATTTTTCAACTTAATTTCCTAGTAGCTTGCATGAAATATTGCGGGAGATGCAATAATTATATCCTGTTTTGCATATTTATTTCTATAATTTATAAATCCACAAGCTCACTACCTGCTTTTCAGTTAAACAATTTATATTTCGCTTAGCTCAATGTTCAACTCTAGAATATTACTTTTGCATAACAGTGTCATTTTATTTACCATTAAACATATAAATATTTGTGCAGGTGCATCAAAAAAATTCCTATATCGTCCCAGAGCAGGACTTCTGATTCCGTGTTGTACAGAAGGGAAGCCAACTACAAGATGTTGGCTTGAGATTGAACCCTCGCACTTTAAGCTCCGTGGTGATAACTATTTTAAGTATGCTATTAACTTCCATTTGTCAATCATAGACTAGATATGTAGACATCTACAACCAGTTGTTATACATATGTTTGCTATGGTATTTAATTGTCTGAAAATTCAACATGCAGAGATAAGCATAAATCCCCTGCACCAAATTACAGTCCATATACTCCAATAGGGGTTGATCTTTTTGTGTGCCCAAGAAAGGTTAATCACATTGCCCAACACCTTGAGCTTCCTAATGTTAAAGGAGAAGGGAAGGTGCCTCCACTACTCATTGTTAATATCCAGGTGTTTTTTCTACTTCTCTTAATCTCTGAATATTTTCTCTTTGCATTTGTTATTTTGTGTGTGGAAGTGGATACCAAAAGGCAACTTCATCAAAATGAGTGAAGAGCAGTGGCTTTCAGCAGTTTCTTATTGTTTATTGTTATGCACTTTTGAGCAGTTGCCAACCTATCCAGCTCCAATGTTCCTTGGTGATAGCGATGGGGAGGGCTTGAGCCTTGTGCTATATTTCAAACTTTCTGAGAGCTTTGAGAAGGACATTTCTCCCCAATTTAAGGAGAGCATCATGGTAATTTTATTTTTAATTGTTTCTCGCCAAACTAGAAGCCCAATGTATTTTGTTTAGACTTGCTCTGTTAATATTTTCCTTTTGAGGATAAAAAGTTCTTTTCATTGCATGCTATAATATTCTTTTAAGTTAAATAGTTTTTACAAGGCCTCATCATCCACAACTGCTGTTCACACTTTTGTGAAGATAACTGTAGTTTTTTATTAGTCTTTCTCTCAAAAGTTTCCTTTTTGTCTAGACAATACATCAAAAAATCATTTTAGGAAACCTTGCTCTAATTTGTTTGGATTCAGATGAAGCTTCCACCAGGCAAAACTTTGTAGAGCCTTTCTATATATATGGAAGTTGCTCCTACTCAATTTCTAAATTTTGCCTACAATAGGTACTTTTTCCTTTGGTTTGAGATTGGGGAGACCTATAACCGTTTGATGCAGAGCGAAAGTAATTGCAATTGGAACTAGGATTTTTTTGTGTACCTCCATGTTCTTTGCTAATTCAACTTGACAGATTCCCCCAATTGGAACTTGGAATGGATGAGATCTGGTTTTGTCATGATTGGAAGCTATCTATGTGGTTATCTTAATTGGGTTTGTCAGGATTCAATCAATTAAGTTTTGTTTTCATCCTTTGCAGAAATCCTTCTGATATCTGTTAATCAAAATACTAATTTTGGTCCACCATGTTCCTGTTAATGGTCAATGACAGCCTTCTTTTCTTCCATGTTGAATATCATGTTGTACTGGGCTTCAACAACTTCACCAATTATGTGCTCGTCCCATGTTGACCTTTCCTTGAGAGTGTGCAGAACATTTGGGTCTCCATCCCTTTTGCATATAAATTGTTGAATCATAAGTAAAGCAATCTACCTATAATTACTTATCAATATCATCTAGTGCTGACTATTTCCTTAAACGTCTATGTCCTCTATGGAATTTAATATAAGCAATTTTTGTGCCTTCGGAGAGCACTCTCCAGGAGAACACTGGTTTTGGGGCAAACTGACAGTTACTAGTACAATCAGTGTAACCTGTTCGATCTAAGTTGCAAGTCAAGGGTCCTAGCTCCCTGTACATTAGGATCCTTTTTAGTTGTTAAGATATGCATATGCATCTGTTCATGGCCCTTGTTAAGAGAAGATTTGTTGTTTTGTTATGTCAGTATATCTGTAAAGTTGTTGCATTCTTAAACATATAAAACTTGTTGTTCAAGACATACTAAGGAGAGGGATTTCAATTTCTATTTTAATGCTAGATTGTTGCGTTTCCTGCTTCCTACTTGGTGAAGGATTTAAATATTTAAGTTACACCTTCTCTAATAGCTTAAGCTTTTGGAGTAGATGGTAGTTAACATGGTATCAGAGCCAAAAGTTCTCAAGTTCAAAGCTCACCGTCACCCAATTATACGTGTTGGACCAAAAAGAAGGCCACACGTGAGGGGGTGTGTTAGGATTTAAATAGTAAAGTTACACCCTGTCTTATGACTTAAACTTTTAGAGTAGATGGTTGTTAACAGTTAAACTACTTTGGAATCTGATTATAGCGTGGAGTGGATCAAAGGAAGAAAGTCTCTTGTATAAAAAGAAGGCCAGGGGCGTGTTAGGATTTAAATATTAAAGTTACACCCTCTCTAATAGCTAAAGCTTTTAGAGTAGATGGTTGTCAACACTACCTTGGAATCTGATTATAGCGTGGATCAAAGGGAAAAAAGTCTCTTGTATAAATCTCAATGAGTTGAGATAGCACATTATAGTATATGCGCACATTCCCTTGGCTTCTGGTATATGGTAGTTTACTTGCTATTTCCTTATACTGAAACAGAACTGTGAGAATTGAAAGTGAACAAGTTGAATATTAGTTACTGACCAAATTACCTTGGGAAACTCGGTGGTTACTGTTATCATGCTTTGACACTGTTTGCAAGTGAATTCATAATCTAAGCAACTGTTCCTAAATTTCATTTTGTCTCCATTTGTGTGCTTACAATTAATGCAATCACTCGTTTCCAGTTAGTATTATATTTCAGCTCGTTAATTTTTTATTTTTTATTTATTTTTTATTTTTGGCTACAGAAACTGGTTGATGATGATATGGAAAAGGTTAAAGGGTTCGCAAAAGAATCCTCAATTCCTTTCAGAGAAAGGCTAAAGATCATGGTTGGGGTGGTTAATCCGGATGAGCTTGTTTCAAGTTCTACTGAAAGGAAGCTTTTGCATTCTTATAATGAAAAGCCAGTCCTTTCACGTCCGCAACACAATTTTTATCAGGTGAAGTATCATGTCCTCACTTGTACTTTCTTATGATATCGTTGAACTTATGTTAGATCTTGGAGACAGATATGCATTTTACATTCATTATTTTCGTGTTGATACTATCAATTAAGACGAGCACAGAAACTAAAGCTTCTATAAATATGGATACACCCAATACATCGAAACTTATTGCCCATGGATAAAGAAAACTGTTTCAGATTCATCTTGCTTTTACCACAGTGAGGGTCTCAAGGGCACCATCTTGTTAATTGGCTATGTTGGTTTATTTCTCATTCAACTATAAAACTTTCTTTAGAACTATAGAGTCCAAATATATTTCCGAGATTACTTATCCAACATTGTCCTTAACTTTGAAAATCTTGACAAAGGACCTCCAATTTTCTCCTTAAATTCGAAAATCTTGACAAAGAACTCTCTGGTGGCAAGTTGTTTCTCCATGTTAATGAAATTTTTCACGCATTAAATTCTCAAAATCTCTCAATTGCGGAAATTCCTACTGTCACCTTCATTGATCCTTGCGGCCTTGTTAATGATTGTGAATTCCTTTGTTGGTCAAACTTGATGTCAATCTTCACATTTCTTGGATTTTGCATTTTTCTTGAAATTTAATTATCACTAGCTCTAGTGGATGGGCTTCCCATTCGAACCTGCCTTTATCAATTATAAAAAATTCTGCACCTGAATATATATTTGTAAAATCCAATCAAGTTAATGTACCAATGTGGTACTTATTTGATACTTAATAATCCTGTAAAAAATAAAAAATTTCTTAATAATTTGAAGTTGCTTCTCACCAACTTCTTCCAAAATTGAATTTCTTGTACTCGATGACTTTGGTTTCTTGCTTTTATCAAAACTTTCATTTTCAACCACTTTCATTTTATTTTTTCCCTTCCAGTTATTCTTTCTCAAATTTTGCCTTTATTTCATTATTTGATTTTTCTTTGTGTTTATTCTATTCTTATTTTTGCTTATATTCATCTTTATCATAATTTTGAATTCCAATATTCAAATTGTTAAATACTATCTTTCATTGTAGAAATAAATTAAGGTTTTTCACACCTAAGTTGGACAATATTTCCAAACTTCTTGATCCGCAACGTTCTTTAAAACTTTAATTGCTTATACTTCCTTATTTTCTTAATTCCTTTTCCTCTTTATAATTCCAAATATAGACTCCTTGACAATATCATCCCATAACTCAAATCTCAATTTAATGGATTCTAAAACTCCAATATGCATATATATATATAAACATAAACCACTTCTTCATCCATTTTGCTTCATTTTTTTCTTTCTACTCCTTTGACGTGGTGATTGCTAGCTATCCATTTTGGAAATTTTTAAAATTTTCACCTCTTCCCTTTATCTTCTTTCAATCGTCTGTTTCGCAAGCCAATTTACCAGCTGTTTTTTTTGTCATGCCCATATTTTGTCATCACCTGAAACTCGGATACCAAATTTGTTGGGAAAAACAGAAGTGTGATGTAGAACTTTAAAATACTGAATTATTATGGAGAGGTGGAGTACAGAATATTTTTTTGGTCTGTTGTATTCTTCTTAAAGGAGATTATATCCTTTTGATTTTCTTAGGGGTGACATTTACAAGGCCTACACACAAAGGCGAAGTATACAGATTTTTTTTTTTTCTTTCAAAATTACTCATCCACTTAATGCAATGCTGCAACCTTATAAATACAATGAGGAAGGTTTTTTTCTGAGCCGCAAGAAAAAGATGGGAGTAATAAGGTATCTAGGTCCATTCAGTCGAATGCTATGGCTTTTATTGCTTTTATTCCATACTAATCCAGTTTGGTATAAATTCTATGGCACTTGTTGGATAAAAAACACAATCATGTGGTGATGTGGTCTTTCCACGACTGTGTTGATTAGTACTTCTTCTATGAAGTTGAACTTAGCGTAATGTAGCAAGTAACACAGCTAATTTTGGAAGTCAGTGATCATTTGCTGACCTTGTCAAGACGTGTTTGTAAGCCAATCGGCTGCCTGACTTTTTTCTTCTCATTTGAAGTGTGGAACATTTCTACGAGACGTTAGATAGTGTGACTTGCCATTGAAGGATAGGATGTGTTGATTTTTTGCTTTCTTGTTTGATGCAGGGACCCAATTACTTTGAGGTTGACCTCGACATTCATCGCTTCAGCTACATAGCAAGGAAGGGACTTGACGCATTCCGAGAACGTCTGAGAAATGGAATACTGGATTTGGGTTTAACAATTCAGGTATTATTTTTTATCTTGTTACCTCCACTATTGTTGAGCATTCTGGTCTTGATTTAATGGAGCCTATTGAAATAAAGAAACTGATTATTTAATTATAATAAACTTCTCAAAACATAAGTGGGCTATATGTGCTTGGGCCCTTCTTGATCGAGTTCATCAAATTTCAACCGGAATACATCCTTTTTAATTTTATTTTTCTGAGCATTTGCATAATTATTTATGTTATTTAAGTTTTGCATTTGTATGTGAGCGCCCAGTTAATGTTGGTTACTACTTTCTAATGCTATGACTGCTACATCGACAAGACTTCACACGATCTTGCAGGGCTCCCCATCATACTTGAGTTTTCTTTTGACTAAATATGGAATGCAACCGTGACAGCATGCCATTTTGCGTGTCACAAGCCAAATTAAATCTTGTTATTCAAACATGTTTGCCCACTCATTCATTCTCTTTTTGCTCTCTCACTTCAAACCTTGCATTGGTGACCAACACGTGTTTTTATGCAAGATTTAATTGGCTTGTGAGAGAAAGTAAAGAGAATTAGCGAGCCATAATTAGTAAAATACGGTGAGAAAACACGTTGTGATATTGTGGCCCAAATTTGGTGCCAGGTCGTCTTGTGACCTGCTTATGACCCAACGACCCATTGGATGAGCTTTGTGTAGGCCCAAGCCCACCAAAGCTTTGGGGGTTCGTGGACCTTAATTATTCTCTTGTAGCCCGATATATAAGGGCTCTTAGGATTTGGAGTGGAGCATGAGAGAGACTATGAAATTTGTACAGAAACAAAGTGAGGGGCTGAAAACTTGTAATCTCCGATTTTACACAGTGAAAACTTCCGCTGGATCACAACCGTAAACGTAGGCTGTTGCCGAACCACGTATAAATCTTTATGTTATTTGTGTGGCGTGTTTACTTTTTTTTCGTGATTTTTGATTCAATTTAGGTTTGTTGCGTTTGTCATAACATACGTGTTTGTAAAAGTACAGATATAATTCACTTTTTCTAAAAATGAAAGTAGAAAAATTATATGTTTGGGTATAATACTTTTTTTGTTTAAAAATTCTACATCCATACTATTTTTCTTCTCTTATGCCTTACATGTTTTTATTTCAATAATAGAAAAGACTATAAATAATAAATTAATAAGGAAGTATTGAGTGTTGTAATTCATCCTAACCCGAACCCTCCATTAGGGAGGAGGTTGCCTATATCCATGTAGGAGTCAGTGAGTCACAATGGTGACAACAAGCTCCAAACTGTTATAGAATTTCCCTAGTTTTGATTGAATTTCTCTATATAATATATATTACCAAAATGACATTGTGTCACCGTTTCATTGAATTTCCCTAGTTTTGTAGTGTTGTATTATGTAGTTGATAATTTGACATAAAAAATAAGAGAAAAATGGTCTTGTTCTGACATCGCAAACGTTTTTTTATTGTGTTTAAAACTAACACTATCTTACTTCAAACAGGCGCAAAAACAAGAAGAACTGCCAGAAAAAGTACTGAGCTGTGTGAGACTGAACAAGATTGATTTTGTTGATCATGGCCAAATACCCACACTCGTGACGGTTGATAAAGCTTGATTTGGGTGGTGGTGTGCTGCAGGTCTGGGCATTCAAAAGTTATCGACAGTCGAGTGTGTGGGAAGATCATATGTTCATTATGTACACATTTTAATTCGCTGTAATTATAGCTGTATACGAATGATAGGAAAAGAAAATTCTCTCATGAACCAGCACAAACAAAATGTCCATCCATCTCGATATACTATTCATTTGAACATCAAAATTCTTTACTGTTATATAATCTGTTACTTTGAGCTTAAATCTTCACAACCAAAATTCTCTTGATTCTTGCAAAGGACCTCAAATGCCGCTCTTTTCGGCTTTTTTTTTTTTTTGTTTTTTTGAGTTATCATCTTCATTTCTGAGACCATTTCCATCCCTTCAACAAAGCATGGGTTCTTGGTGTTCAAGAACTATTCGAATTCAGGTGCAACAGCAAACTTGCAAAGGAACAAAAGAATATGATATTCAAAGACTTTATAGACATGAATATGTATGTAATATATGTATAGTTGTAAATGTGTGCTAGTGTGTGTGTGTATATATAGAGAGAGAGTGTGTGTGTTCAGAATGGAACGGCTACCGGGAAAGGCAACAGAGTCTAAGCAGGGGCTCTCCTGAGAGCAACTGAGAGGAAGCCATTTGCAGAGAGAGAAAAGATTGGACCAGACTTGCTTGAAGCAATTGTAATTCTCAAATTTGGTTTTGGAGAAAAAGTATAGGACTTTATGCCATGAGCAGAAAAGATGGGCAATCCAGTATTTGGTAAATTTCTTCATTTGTTAATTCTAACAATGCATTTTTTTCAAGTGTGGTTATATTTTTTGATTTTTTTATTTATATAATAATATTGAAAGTAAAATGAAAAAAATCAAATGTCTGTGATGTAGCGGTATAACTCAAATTAAAATGTTGAAGGTTCAATCTTCATAGGTGCATGGTGAACGAGTGTGTTATATGCCAAGACAAAAGGGCAAAAGAGAATATAAATATAAAAAATAAAATAAAATAAAATAAAAGCTTTTTCAAGTGTTCAGACATAAAATATAATTTGGTTATAATTTTTAAAAATTGATCAAACATAAAACCTATTTTGGTTATAATTATAGAAGTTGGGTATTTTAATGCAACTATGAGGTCTCCCTCCTGAGATTTTTCATGAACTCTCCCTTTTTATTATTATTATTATGATTATGTACAAATATTGAGGCACAAACTCAGTCACTTGAAAGAGGACTAAATAAGAATTATATAATTAAAATTTTGTTCAAAAATTTATTAACAATAGATCACACGAGACTGGTCATTAACTTATATTATTAACTTTGACCGACTCGTGGGATCTGTTATTAATGAATTCTTGAATGACATTTTAACTCTATATTCGTCATTTAGTCTTCTTTCAAGTAATTGAGTTGGTGCCTCAATATTTATGCATAATCATGACAAAAAAAGAAAGAGCTCATAAGAAATCTCATGAGGAAAACCTCATAGTAACATTACTCTTTTAACCATCTCAAAATTAACATTTAAAAAAAAAAAAAATCAACCTTTTAAGCTCTTGAAAAATATCCAAAACTAATACTCTAAAATTTAAATATTCACATATTAATTAAAAAAAAAAAAAAAAAACTTTTGAAATCTGAATTAAGAAAACCATACTTATTTATATAAGAATAGCCTTAAAAAAAAAAAAAAAAAAAAAAAAAAAAAAAAAAAAAAAAAAGGAGGATTAGAAAAACAATAGGATAAGGAAAAAGCAATAGTAGTATAGTACTACTAAAAGGAAAGGGACTCATAAGTCAATTTGGGAAAAAAGGGGGGGTGAAAACGAAAATAGGATTAGGGTTTTGCTATATAAGTGAAAGGAGAGAGCGGCGGAGGAAGAAAGCGCCTAAGGCCGAGCGCTTCCCCCGTGAGGGAAGGGGTGGCGTGGTATTCCACGGGAGAGGTTTTAATCGTGGCGCACGTTAGTGCGATAGGCGCAAATTAACAATATGGGACTCTCCATGAACGCTTTGCTGCTCTGATTTGCAGCCAAAGCGAGGGGATTGCCCTACACTTTTCTTTATCTCTTCCCTCTTTTCATCATTTTAATTAGTTTTTGTTTGATTTTTTAAACGTTTCTTACTAATATGTGTGTGTGTGTGTGTGTGTGTGTGTGTGACCAATTTAAACAATCATACACTGGATTGTTATGTTGATATGGTCATGATATACATACCATCTATCTAAGCGAACAAATTTTTATTTTATTTTATTTTTTTTTTAAATAAAATTTGTCTCTTGCTTTACAATTTGGAAGAAAGTTAGGGTACAATCATTAGTTGAATCTTTCAATTGCAACCCTTATCAACAAATTGTTTTTGAAGTGATTATTAACATTGAGCATTTTGTTAAAAGAGATCTGATAATCCAATTTTTCATTGAAAAAAAAAAAAATTTTGGAAGGATAAGAATCTATATATAAATAAAATAGGAGGGCCCAAAATAACTCATTTTCTAATTTAAAATTAATTTTAATGAAATTTGTAACTTATTTTCTAATTGGAAAAAAAAATGGGGGAAAGTGGAAGCAAATCATCATGTAGATGTATATTTGTAAAGCAACCCTATTTAATCCTGTAGGGGAGCAATTAGGGCTCCAAAACATGTTACTTAAAATAAAAAAGAGCAATTAGGGCTCCAAATCATGTTTTTTAAAATAAAAAGTTCGTGAAATGTGCTTACTCCAAATGAAAAAGATAATTAAGAGTAGCTTTTTGTAGTGCAATTCATATTTCTTATGTATCCTCCATACACATATTTAAGTCTATGATACGGAAGCATAGAGTATAATACTTCTTTCATCTTTTCATACATGTATCTTGATTAATGTTTAAATTCCCCTCGACATGACATTGAGATTTGAGACTTATATATATATATATATATATATATATATATATATATTGACAAAAAACTCGCATACACCAATCTCACGTATTCATTTGGAGATTTCAAATTAATTTTATTTGGACCCAATGATTCTTGATGGATTTCAGACTAATAAATGTTATAATAATAAAAGGTTAAATGCTCTGCCATCCCCCATGAGTTTGTCCTCTGTGGAGGAAGTGATTCAAAGGTGAAGATGAAGTTGGATTTGCATAACCCACTTCTTAGTTATATTGTCACAATGATTCAATGGCTACAATATAACTAAGAAATATATATATATATATATATATATATATATATATATATATATAAGGCACGTGAATGTTTTTTAACTAATATAATTTATATTTTTTAATTGTTTATAGTTTTATAAAATAAAATAAATAAATATAGGCAAAACAGTTTTTTCAGGCAAAAAAAAAAAAAATACGCAAAACAATTTTTAGATTGTAATAATTGTCACCTCAAAAGAAACAAAATATACCGAAAAATGTTAACTAAAAAACTAACCCAAAAAAATCTAGTACTACACTTGATCTTAGCCAAAAAGTCGAGAAAGGTGTAAGGCTTCTATGTAATCCTTTTTACTTAATACATGTGGGATAATAAAATTAAATTTTTTTTATTAAAAAATTCATAATAAATAGATAAATACAAGGATTATATACTTATATGTGATAGAGTTCTCTTTTTATATTAATTAATAAATATTTTTTATATTAAAAATTAAATGTTCAAATTCTTTAACTTTTATATTTTATTTATATATATTATTATATTATTATATATTTTCTTTAAATATATTTTTGTCTAATGTGATAGAGTTATAGAAATTGTTTTATTTTCTTTAAATATATCCTTCTTTAATTAGATTTCCTTTTATTAGAAAACTCATAATAAATAGATAAATAAAGGTTATATGTCATAGAGTTTTCAAAGAAAAAAAAAAAAAAATAGTTAATTTGTGGCAAAGTTTTGGTAATTTGTGTTACAGTTTTATAAAACTCTTTAAATATATCATTATCTAATGTGATAGAGTTTCATTGGAAATAAAATAGGTAATTTGTGGTAAATTTTATATAAATTATTTTATTTTTTTGAAATATATTTATAACAAATAAATAATAGGTAATTTGTGTTAGAGTTTAATAGAAACTCTTTTTATATCAATTAATAAATATTTTTTATATTAATAATTCTTGTCTAATTAAATTTCCTTTTATTAAAAAACTCATAATAAAAAGTTAAATATGTAATTTGTGTTAGAGTTTTATAGAAACTCTTTTAAAACCTCTTTTTATAACAATTAATAAATAATTTTTTATATTAATATTAGTTGTCTAATTAGATTTTCTTTTAATAAAAAAATCATAATAAATAGATAAATAGGTAATTTGTGTCAGAGTTCATATAAACTCTTTAAATATATCTTTGTCTAATATGATATAGTTTTATCGGAAAAAAATATGTAATTTGTGATAAAGTTTTATAAAAATTATTTCATTTTTTTTAAATATTTCCATGTCTAATTATATTTAATTTTATGGAGAAAAAAAAAAAAAAAATATATATATATATATATATGTAATTTGTGATAGAGTTTAATAGAAATTATTTTATTTTCTTTAAATATATCCTTGTTTAATTAGATTTAATTTTATTAAGAAACTCATAATAAAAGCTAATTTGCGATAGAATTTTAGAAAAATTATTTTATTTTATATATCAATTAATAAATATTTTTATATTACTAATTATGGTCTAATTAAATTTGTTTTATTTAAAAATTCATAATAATAAATAGATAAATAGGTTAATTTGAATTTTATTAGGTAGATTTTAGAATTTTTTTTGAGTTTTATATATATATATATATATATATATATATATATATATATATATATATAAAACTTCATATCAATTAATAAATATTTTTTTCATATATAAATAAGGTCTGGAATACTGAAACTCTTTGGAGCTTTTGTATTTTACCGATAAAAACTATTTTATATCAATTAACAAATTCTGGGTTTATGCCCCTCTGAATTTCTCTCTGAAATTATGGATTTCCAGAATTCTCAATTTTTGTATCCCTTCTTCCTTCCTCCATACCTCTACTTATAGGCTAGTTGGATTAATGGGATGCTAACATCTGTCCTCTGATAGTGACATAATTATAATTGGGCCGATTATATTGTGATAATAATCCATAAAATATAACTATTCTTTTCATGCCAATTAATAAATATTTTATTGTGATTTTTTTTATTAGGTAATTTTTAAAGAATAAAAGGTAATTTGTGGTAGAGTTTTATAAAAAACTATTTTATTTTTTATATCAAT